CTAACTTTTTTTTATTGTTGTTGATTTAAAAGACTTATTTAGGTCCAATCTACCCACTCTTAAATGTTCAATGGCCAAACTTGAATAACCCTAATAACTCTGCCGCCAACTATCAATTTTGGGGGAATGAATGGGAAAAGCATGGACAATGTTCTGATTACCCCACCAACCCTTATAATTACTTCAACTCTGCCTTACAACTTAAGCATACCTTTACTCCAGGTGATTTTATATTCTTTACACCTTTTTTTTAGTAGTTCATATATTTCGCTATAGATCTTAATATTTTTATGAACCAAATAAAAATTATATTTTTCTCCCAGTCTATTAATTTCATTTAATATTGTTTTGCTTCAGATTTAGGATTTCAAAGCGGACAAAGTTATACAGTACAACAAGTTGTAAATAAAGTTTACAATTCCGTAAGATATTTGCCTGAGATTTCTTGCAACAGAGACAGAAACAACATATCAAGAATACAATTAGTGGAGATTCGTTTCTGTTACTATAGGCCACAGCCGCCCCAACAATTCATTCAGAACATTCGAAATTGTCCTAATCCAACGGGTAAAATTGGAACCCTATGTTATAATTACAACACTAGTCTAGTTGTTCCCTAGTGCTCCTCACTCCTCTACAAATATCGTAAGGGTAAACTACTCAAATAACCACTTAATTATAGAGTTGGTGTCTACACGACCATCATACTTTCAATATTGACAATATGACCACATACCTTTTAAGTGGTTTCAATGTACTTACTTGTTTTTAAAAACAAACGATGTAGTTGGTGTGGACCTCTGACTCGCCGTAATAACCACATCAGTTATGCTGTCTGTTTTAACAGTAAGTGTCTACATTAAAACCATTTAAATAATTATGTGATCATATTACTAAAATTAAAAAGTATTTGGTTATATCGACACCAACATTTTAATCAAGTGCTCATTTGAGTACTTTACACGTATCTCAATGATATTGTAAAATAATGATGGTTGTAACTCTATCTCTGTTTTCATTTTCATATACCGTCAATGACATAATAAAATCAATGAATAATTAATATATTATCTGCTTTTTCTAATATGAGCTGTTTATTTTTGTGCTGATGTTTTTATTATTGAAGGAATAGTAAAATGATATATAAAATTAAAAAGAGTTTTAAATTATATAATGTTCACATTTATTCTCCAAGGCTTAGGCCATTATTAAAAAACTTAAAAAGAAAATATTATCAACATATACTTAAATGAAATGATTGAGAATGAATTTAATATATGACGATTGTTTAAAAAAAATCATGCTTCGTTAAAAGTTTAGATTGGAAAATTTATTTAAAAAATGGAAAAAAGTAAGAACGAAAAATAAAGTTTTGAAAATATCATCATCGACATATAAAAAAATGTGTTTATTGAGTAAGAAAAGAAATCAAATAAATGTATTATTTAATTTATTTGGATCCGAGGTTGAAATTGATGAAATTTTAAAGTGTTCATAAGATTTCTACTTTTATCAAACTTAAAAAAAAAAATAAAGAAAATTATAAAAAATTACTATGAATATTTAAATCCTACTTAAAAGAGATGATTTAAAAAAATATATTTTTAGTCATATTTTATTTTCTCAAAATTATCACAGCCACTTTAATACATCGCTTAATAAATGTGTGCTAATAGATATCTATAGTTTCCGAATTTCCAAACGTGTTCATCAACAAAATAGAGAATTTAAGCATTATTCTCACGCATCATCAACCAAAACCATTATTTAAAATAAAAGCTCTCAAAACTGAATAAAAATCATGCAGTCATGTGCCTTCTCAAAATAGAATTTTCGCCATGCATTCATACTTAATGGAATCGGGTTAAAATGTGCCTTACCAACAACACCCAAAACAGATAGCAAACGTATAGAATGTAAAGAATATAAATATTATATTTTTAGGATAAATGCCAAAATTAGAACCCACATAAGATGAATAATATAAATATATTTGATCACTCAACCAATTAATAAAACATTATAGATAGCAAACGAATGTGAACAGTTTATATGGGTAGAAAAGTAATTAAAATAGGACGAAGACCTCGACATTTTAGTATAATAATTAAAATAAGAATCTTTCTTAATAGCTCCGTTGACATATTAATTTTAAAAACAGATGATTAGAAAGAAAAGGACAAAAAACATGTTTGTTAGGAATATAAAAAATTATGTATGAATCTACTTGCATGTTATTAAGTGTGATAAATAGGTGGATTACCATCGAGGCTCCAACAATGTGTACAAATATGAAAGGAGAGTGACTAATCTAGTAGTTTACCCTATTTTTAAAACAGGTAGTTAGACAGAAACTAATAGAAAACATATGTTAAAAATATAACTACATCACCATGGCCTGCAAGATTTGAACTCAAATATTAAGGAATTAGGGTAAACACGAACTATTGCTGATAAATGTGGATCAATTCCAAATGTGTCAAGTGTCAACACGCTGGTTAATTTTGTTTAGAGGAATTTATACATTGATGCGTATGAATATTGATAAAATTGTTACAATCCATGATACTTGCCTATTTAGACTTTTGTTAATGGAAAGAAGTATGATTGAAGGTGCTAGAAGCTTGAGTTTGAATAAAAAGTCCGTCACAATTAGTCCATTTTGTAGGCCATCATCTGTCGAATTAGCTGTCAAAAGGTTGATTGTATTGCACAAGTATAATTTCGAAGTCAGGAATAGGTTGTTGACCGTGTATTCGAAGTGCGGATACTCAAGTGACCTGGTTAGGGTATTTGAACAAATTGAGTTGAATGGAAGTGATTTTGGTTTTGAGCTATTTGATACATGCATTGTTTTGTCAAGAAACACTTGATGCTATTGTAGCGATGAGAAGGGCAGAATTGCTCTGAACTTGGATCATCTAGGAGAAATTTTGATCCTGGGGGACACTTGTTGGCCGATGTATTCATGGAGGTAATACTACCAGTTCACACTCCAACTTCGGATATTACGAAAAGAGCATTCATGAATGTTTGGTCGAACCGTTTTGAAGATTTTTCGAAGGGAGAAAAGGATTCGATTGTTATCCGAATTCTGTTTTCTGTTTTGACCCTCGAGGACAATGACGACCTTTTTCCAAGCGGGAAGTATTGTAATGGGCCTTTTATAAATAAATAAATAATATAGTGGGCTATAGTTTTTGGGCTACTTTTTATAATAGGTTATAAATATATTATGTTTGGGGTTTAGAAATATACGAGAATTATATGAAATGAAATGAATTGATTGGCTTTTCTCTTATCCGTTCTTCTCTCTTCTTCCTCTGCTCCTTCACTGTTCTTACTCTGTTTTCTTCTCTAATCTTCCTGTTTCCTTTAGACTGTTACATTAACCAAATTAATAAAGCTCAAAGCAAGAGCATTTAGCAATGCCGTTAATGCTAATGATAATTTTATAAAAAAGGGGGAAAAAATGAAATTACCGTTTCCACAGGATTGTTACAGGAAGGTGACTTGGAGTCACCGGCGAAGGGGAATGACAAGGAGACGAGAAACGACAACGGAAGAGTCTTCGGAATCCGGCGCGGGTTTCCCGGCGGAAACGACATGGTGGTGTAGCAATGGTTGATTGGAGCAAAAGAGAAAGAAAAATGGAATTAAAAATTCCTCCTTTGTTGAAGAAAATCGATGCTCCAGAATGCATAGGGGGAGTAAAAAAAATCTTAAAATTTGTTGTGTTAGCTGAATTTATTTCTCTCCCTCTCCGAATACTTCAGCGAAAGACTCGTTCCGTTTGTAAGTAAAACGAAAGGTTTGGTGTTGGGGATGTGATACAAGTTTAGCAAACGGTTATGAACTGCTGTAATGGAACAATATCTTCAATTGTGTAAACTATTTTGGGTAAATTACAAAATTGGTCATCGAAGCTTAGTAAATTTCTTTATTCCCTTCAAGTTTCAAAAGTAAAGAAACAACCATTAATATCACAAAAGATAACAAAATGGTCACTCGAGCCTTAAGTTTCGTTAGATGATTAACAGTAGTCTAACATAGTGGATGATGTGATATTTTTTTAATGAATTATTCCACTAATAAAATGATGATATATGTTTGAGAAAACCGTGATTAATGTTATTTTGACAATTACCACATGGTAATACAATAAACCTCACATAGATATGTAAAGAAATAAAAAAGGCCTCTTTTTTACATCTTCAAATCAAAATGTTTTGTAGTGAGATTCTCAAATCACTCACTCATTATTTAGGTATTAATTTTTTCAAGTGTTTAAATACATATTTATTACGTGATTAATTGTCGTTTGAGTTATGATTGTGCAAATAGATACCTTCAGCACGTGTCACATTTATTTCTTCTATTTGAACAAAATTTCTTACCACGTTAGTATATGCATGTTCTATCAAATATGATTGACGTAGTGTGTTTTGGCCAAAAAAAAATACATTTGTTTATATAATTTTTTTAGCTGTTATTTATATAAATAATAAAAATATATTGTTTATATGAAATTGCCACTTTTATGAGATAAATAATAGATTGCCAACTTAAAAATTTTAACCATATAATTTTTTAAAAAAAATCTCATAAGGTAAATCGTCACTTAAAGGATTAAGGGTCACTTTTACCTATGTAGTAGACTTAATTTATTATTTTCGCTCCTATCGTATTTTCATATCACTTTAGTTTTCGAAGTTGTTTAAATACGTTATTCTATACCCTACCACTCACTTAAAATCTTAAACTGCAGGTTTTAAGTTATAGATTAAGGTTTATGATTTAGAGGTTATGAGATTATGGTTTAAGATTATCAATGTAGAGTTTTAATTTAGGAGTAAGATATAGAATAATGCAATTAAATAATTTTAAAATCTAAATTGATGCGAAAATGCGATAGTTGTGAAATGACAAATTAGGTCTAGAGGGCAAATGTGACCCTTACTTTTTTTTTTTTTTTTTTTAAATTATATGGTTAAATTTTTATGGGCTTGGGGGCAGTTGGGCTGTTCCTTCAACCGAATGACTTGCATTGTCGTCTCGGGCATCGAATCTCAGAGAGGAGACAACAAAGGAAGAATGATAAGAAATTGTCGATAGGTGCTAAAATCCATGATGAGAATGTCGAAATTCAAATCCAGGTTGATATCATCCTGGGTTTTCCTCATTCAATTCTTTTTAAAATTGTCATCGACAATTGCTGCTACCAGGTCCAATACAATCTTAATTATCTGGGTGAAAGTAATTTCTAGGATTTTTTTCGTCAAATAGTTTTGGGTAGTTTTGTTTCTGCGTTTTGATTCTGGGTTTCCAACTTTATGGAATCGTAGGAAGGAGATCGGCTTTCCAGATAGGCGCATTTGCAGAACAACAGTTCAAGGAAGATATTTATTATCTGATGATAATGGTACGTTATTACGTTCATCATTTTTTTCTTCTTGGACTACCATGTTCAACTTTTTTAATTTGTAAATTTTGAAAAAAAGATATTGATTTTTTACTTTTTTATGGAATTAATGTGTGGAAATATATAGGTATGATAAACTGAATGAAAAGGAACTGAAAGCTGTTTTCTTTCTTGCAAAATATGGGGTTATATACATGACTTATTGCCATAGTCATTCAAGAAAAGCATTATGATCCTTTGTAGAACTGCTTCGAAAAACCGAAGATATAGACTTTTGGTTTATGCTGTTTAAGCTTTTTCTTTATCCGCACAATGGACACAAACAAAGAGAAGGGCGAGAAAAAGATTGCAGTGTAATAATGGACTGGAGAACAATGAAGTTTGACCCAACGTGTTAAATTTCATGATCCTTTGTTTAATTTGCATTCAAGTTTCTGATTACTTGTAAATGCGTACTGTCACTACTAGAGAGTCTTTGGAACTCTTATTCTAGTTCTGACTTTGGTTTTTGTATTACATATTGTATCTAATAAGTCTGGCCTAGTACCTTATCTTTTATTTTGATAATAGGTTCACAATAGTATTTATATTGTAGGCTGTGTGTGATGCTCTCTCGTTGGATCCACAATCCCGTTGCTGTCCTGAAAGAGGAGGCAAATTCTCTTGCCAGTGAGTTTTTTCCACATTCTTATGGTCTCCATGATGCAGACTTAAAACACATTCTTTAGTGTGGCTTGTAACACTTCCAGTTCCTTCCAGTGGATGCAATGTCCTTTCCAAGTGTTGTAACTCCTACGAATTTTGTGTTTCGTGCTGCCTACATCCTGAACAAGTATCTTTTTTTAGCACTCCTTATTTTGTATAATTATCATACGTGTGTTAGGTGTAATTAAATTCACACCAAAATTTCTTTTGCAGACACAGAAGGAACAAGTACTGAAACTAAAAATGGCCAAGCCATTGACATCAGGTAAGTTTATAGTTTTAGTTAGTCACAACTGCTCATTTACTTCTGAAGATGGGAAATGGTATGAAATCTCCTGCTGCTGCTAGGACTTATATGCTGGTTCTAGCGGCATGAAAATCTGTCCTAAACATTTCGGATACTTGTATAAGTTGATGGCATTTTATATTGCAGCATAATCTGATTAATAAGAAGTTTATTTTCAACCTGTGACATCTTCTGTGATAAAAAAAACCTCTGCTACTCAATTTTGCTGGGCTTTTTTTTTCTTCCCTAAAAGTGGATTTTCACACTCATGAGTCATGACGATTATACGTCATATTACTGTTTTTGAAGTAACTCTTTTGCTTCCATTCCTAAGAATCAGTTTGTGAGATAGCTTATTTGGCACTGTAATAGCTACTTAAAAATATCCTATGGAGATCCTCTTGCAATATTTTTTTGAAGATGATGATTGTGCCTATATTGGGACTACAAAATTATATATTGTGATAAAATATTATTCTAAATGATCTATTTCTGTTCCTGAGTAGTTTGTCTTCTTGATGTAGTAGTTGCCCTACTGAAGATGTATTCAATTAGAAAACTTTTTGCTACTTTATCTTTCAACAATGCTATGGCTACTATGTATCTCTATTAGGTGCAAGGTCATTATAACGTTTCCCCCCCCCTGTTTGACAGGAACATATCCAAGTGTCTTTGATTTTTGTGCTGGGAGGTGTCGACATAACTCTGAAAGTGTTGTAAGTGATGTTCTATAGATATATTAATATATTTATGGTGCACTGGGTCATCCACCCCCCCCCCCCCCCCGAGCGAATTTTTAATGAATAAAGAGCTATCTAGGTATAATTTCTTGGAAACCATTGGTGATTTAGACTGTCATGCTAATGCTACAAGTCACAAACTACAATAAGGGCTTCTGTTTCATTTTCTTCATTAGTGACATTTCTTTAGGTAATATACATGATCCAAAAAGAGTTACTTTTTATGTTTTAAAAATATGATTCAGGTTGGTTAAATTAACATTATGTTTCAGGTTCACGAAAATGCCTATGTTAGTGATTTTCATCATTGCTTTTCTCTACCATCAAATTCTTCTGGTACGTTTAGACATGACTTATCCATTAACATTAATATTATCTCTTTGGCTCATTTTTAGTTATTTTCATTTGAATACCCTGTATCTTTCTTAAATTCTGCTCCTCTAACCTAGCAAAAGATATGAGGAAAAACAACAGAGGGAATTGAGAGGGTAATGGGAATGGGAATAAATGTAGTGGATCTCAATAATCCAAAAGCTTGTACAATAATACTACTCCAGTATACTTTCCAAAGAAGTATAGATTTAATAATTAAATAACATCGAATACACCATTTATTTTAAGCCCATAAACAATAACAAAATATCTTTATATATATATTCTGCAGAACAGTGATACCATCTTTCTGGTTTAATTCAGTATGCAATAATTTAGCATTAAATTACATAATTGGTTTTACTTGCAACAGGGTCCACTGTCTCACCTGTAGAAGCCAAACTAAATGGTATTAATGTTGCTGTTGGAAGGTAAATCTTCACTATGGTTGGTTCTGTTTCTTTATTCGAACATGTAATATCTGTCCGTTGAACTAATACTTTTCTCTTTTTCCCATTGGACAAAGGCAAGGAGAGTCTTGTGATTCAGTTTGCAAGTCAAATGGACAATCATGTGTACTAAATAAGCTTTTGATACTTAACCAGTGTGAAATGTAAGTTCTTCACCATCTCTCCTCTTCTATTATTTGATGGTGTTGTTCATTATTTGCTTTAGTGCATGGCTAATATCATCTGGAGTCTGTTCCTCTGTTTGGTTGATCTACCTCCAATTTAGGTATACTATACGATCCTTCTTGTTATTACACTTATCTAGTTATCCCTATTTTATTCTGAATTTGGTCAATTTTGTCGATGCTTTTACACATTCCCTCTTCCTTTATAACATCTAGGAGTAAAGTATGGGTGTAGTCTAAACAGGGAGGTTTTCAACAATTTGTTGTTGAAGTCATTTTACAATGTTTTATCTCCTGCACTTCCAATAGCTTTTTCTGTTATATTTTGGTTTGAGTTATTCTTTGTAAACAGTATGCAGAAATATATGAGCTGCAAAGGAGCATGCTTGGCAAGTGTTGGAACCGATCAACCTGCAGAAGTTGTAGATGATGCTCCCAAACATTTGGTATATTTCCTTGTTAGTAGAGTTTATATTTGCAAAACTTTGTGCTACCCTGATAATTGAAATAATTTTTTCCCACTTGGTCAAATCTTTCATAAAAAATAAACTCTTATCAATAAAATGAGACATTTAATGGTAAAGGTTGAGAATGACATATTCCCCATGTTTCAGAATCCAGGAGCATGCTTGTATACTCGAACACAATCAATGCTGTCTTGTGGTGGTTCTCATCGGCATACCAGGAGACTTTGCCCCTGTGCTTAGTGCATTACTTTGGTGAGTTTGGTGTCCCTATCAATTATTAGGAATATTTTTAGTCAGAAATTAACTGCATTGTTTCTGTGATCTTGTTCGAATATTTCCGGGACAATTTCAGAGACGAATCATGTCTTAGATCGGGCTATTTATCTCCTGGGTATTTCCCAAAGACTTGGGAATTTCTGGAGACATTCTTTTTTTTTTTGCAGGGGACCTATACACGTACCTGTCGAGGTTTCAATATGAATCCATTAGAAGAGAAATGTATAGGGTTGTGCATGTCTTGCATTGTTGTATAAATTAAAAGCAAAATGCCATTGACATGCTGACTTAGTTCAAACATACATGCAATACAAGAGAGTAGAAGATTGTGGAAATGGATTATTCTTTTATTTCATTTTTTAAGTTGCTTAATTCAGCAGGGTGTGGAGGAGTCAATACTTGCAAGCAAAGCATTGAATTCTGATTTCTCTTCCAAGTAAACCGATATCATATGCTATGCTTTACAGGTCTTTTAAAACTTCTATGATGAATAAGAGGCATAGGTTTCAAAGTTTATTAAATGTAGAAGAATAAATAAATAATTATTAGCTTCAGTATAAAATATGGACCAGCTTGTAATCTATATATATATATGATGTTACGAGTTAAATTAATTGGATATAATTCATCAACTTTTAATTATTTTTTTAATTTTTAAAAATATTAAGAAATGCGAAATGAAAAGATCAAGACAGTCAAACTTAAAAGATATTTACAAAAAATAATCTTATTTATAAAAATGAAGAAGGAATCATATATTAAGAATTAAATTTGAGTTTCCAACTTCAAAAAATCAAGACAACATATTCTAAACTCACGAGTTGAGTTTCCAGAAAAGTCACCAAACTTTCGAAATCTTTTTCAGGTTTGAAGATATTTTTCTTCTAAAGATGGTTCATGTTTTAAAAAAATTAGAGTCTTCATCGATCGGTTTAGACTAAGTATGACTGAACACATGAAAAATCATATTTTTAAAAGAAATTTAAAAATTTACTTTAGGGAATCGATTACATATAAATAAGATTAAAGCACCTTAGGACGCATGAATTATCATAGCAGGTGTTTGTCTTGGTGCATTTTGGGATCATCTTTGATTCCCCTTTTTTTTGTCTGTTATTTGGCTTGGAGCTGCCTGATTTGTTGTTGGGTTGTTGCCTTCCTCACGAGTGTTTGTTTGGTTTTTGTTTTTTTATTCATCTGAGATAAAATATAGTGTTGTATCTGTTTAAAGATCTCTCTCAACCATTTAATATTAAACGTTCACACTTTCGATATTATTACTGCTCAAATTCAAAAAATTTAAAAATAATAAAAATTCTTTTATTCTTGAGGTCGTTTGGTTCATGTGAGTGTTTATTTAAATGAAAGCTTTTCTCTGGAAAACAAAAAATATTTTAAAATTCTTTTTCATTTATGGTGATGAATACCGAAACTAGGAAAGGAAACGGGGCGGGTTCGGGGCGGGTTCGGGGCGGGTTTTGCTCCCCCGTCCCCGTCTCCAAAATAAATCCACGTCCTAGTTCCCGCCTCGATCCCCGTCGGATTTTTTATCTGGGCACCCCGTCGAAATTTTTTTTTGCCCTGACCCCAAACCTGACCCGAACCGATCCCGAGAAAAACCGTATTTTTTATTAAAATAAATAGAAAAAATATAAAATATATAGAATATAAAATATTATATATTATATATAATTAATATAAAAAATAAAAAATATTATATATATGATTAATATAAAAAATAAAAAAATTATATATATATATAATCGGGGCGGGAATACCTTATCCCGAACCCAAAAAAATCCTCAAATTTTACCTCGATAACCGACTCGACCCAAACTTAACCGAATTTCAAATTTTCTCATCGAATTCGGGTCATTCTGCCATCCCTAACCAAAACAAGCAAAAGAAGTCGCAAGCAAAAATCAAGCAAAACAACAAAAAAGTTCAGGCATTTGTTTGTCATTATTCGCATCCATTGATCATAAATGGCATAAATATCAACGTAAAAATCGTACAAATACCACTTTAATTTAATTTGAATTACTTAATTATTTTTTTCAAAATCATCACTAATGATATATTTTGGTTTCATTTTGGTCACACATCGTTACAAAATTAACGGTAATACTTATATGTCACCATAAGGTAATACCATATCATCATTGAAAAAATAAAAAATATTATGTCAATGGTTCTGTTGATTTTTGAACAGCGTGTGATCAAAATTAAACTAAAATATAACATTAGTGATGATTATGAAGAAAAACAATAGGTGAGTAGCTAAAATGGAACCAAAGTGATAGTTGGATGACTAAAATAATAGTTTAGCCTAAATAGTATACAAACCATAAATATATTCAACTCGATTCATTAAAACTATAAAAGCCCATTTAGATTTCACAATGCATTTTACATTAACATTGAAAAAATTACGTTTTTTGTACGTTAGAAACTATAATTTGGCTTCAAAAACTTGTTGCCGAGTGGCTTGGTTCCATCTCTAAGACCTCCATTTTCTCCGGTTTCAGCCTCTTCTTCTTCTTGACCCTCAAAAGCTCGATGGCTAAGAATACTGTTAAATAACCGAGTTCCTCTCAAAGCATTTGTCAGTGGAAGATGACCTTCCGGTGTTTCGTCATTGAGTTCCCACGTGAACTCATCGGGGAAAGCCCTGTAGTTGTATTGTTCGATTTCGGTGTCGAGTTTTTTCATCCATCCGAGTTTTAGGAACAACTTGGTGAAGTCCTTGTTAACTTTCTTCCAGATGTTTTTCTGCACGCTGTACCCGAACTTGTTGTTGCTGTATTTTCTCCATAGTTCATCAATTGCTTTGAGATCAGTTTCTGGGATGTATTGAACTTCGGAGAAGAAGACGTAGCCGCGTTTCTGAGATTGTTCGCCGGCTAGAAGTATGAGCAGACGGCGGGTCTCTTCGTCGGCTTGGCGGAAGTTTTGGGTTGAAAGGAGGTGTTGCAGGGTGTCAAAGGAGGATGTAGTGGTGGTGGAAGTGGTGGAAGAAGGAAGAGAGAAGGTGGTGGAAGAGGAGGAGGAAGTGGTGGAAAGGATGTTTGTGGAGGAAGTGGTTGTGGAAGGGGGTTTGAGGAAGAGGGAGGAGGGAGGTGGAGGTGGAGGGAGGCGTTTGAAGGAGGAGCAATGGTGGTGGTGGTGATGGTGGAGGTTTCTTAGAGAAGTAGAGGCCATGTTTTTGTTTGATATTTTGTTGGGTTGTGAGGAAACTTTATAGATATTGGATTTGTTGATGGAAGATAAAGGATTAGATATCAGAAATACGTTGCATCATTCTCATTGGTCATCTTTGGCTCAGACTTATTATCTTTTCTTTATTTCTTTCTTTCAATTCACTATTACAATTTGCTTTATTGATGCTGAAATTCAATTAAAATACACAATGTATCTCATAATTACTTAATCATGGAATTGCAGAAAAAAATGAATTAAAGGGGTGTTGGTCTATTATGATGTAAAATAGATTGTTTTTAATGATGATTAACTAAATGTAAACGAAATAAAAATTATAATTGCATAATAATTTTTTTTAAATATATAAAAATGCATAATTTATTTTAAAATTATAAAAATATTTTAAAATTTACAATTTTAATCTTTTTACAAAATATAAGAATCAAACAATAATAAAAACTAATATATTATGAGTATTATATGAAAATTTTAGATAAAAAACGATTCATAAATTTCCATATTTTCAAATACAATTATATCAATTAAATCTCACTCGTATATAATTGTTACTGTTTGAATACCATCATCAACGCTAATTAAGCAGAGAAATACAAACGTGACCTTGGATATGGTGAGAATTTAAATATATAATTCAAGTATACAATATTACAAACCTTAATCAACTTTCTCATTTCCTCTTCTTCATCAACCACAACATGTCGATGATTGTCTCAAAACTCCCTTTTATTTTTAAGAAATTTATTGGTCAAACTAATTCGTTTTGGGATGAACGAGGAGAGTTCTGAAAATTTCAAAATCCTATGTGTTTTAGATATTTTCTATTAAAATCTAGTTTCTTACTTTAAAATTTTATAAATTCGTCACTTATCATGAAATTGTATATAAAATACTACACGCTTAGACGTTATCTTGTGCAACACAAGTCGATTTACTTTTGTATAGCATGAAATTACAAGCTGAAATAGTGTCACCTACTTTTAAGACGATTCATCCTCATCCTATACTGTCGATGAATCTTATTTGATAGGTTTGCCCTGAGGCCAGCGTTCAATCAAATTAAATAAAAAATTTCAAATTAATCTAGTTGATCAATCTTATTTGATAACTCGAAATTTATTTATAAGTTTTTTCAGTTAAATTGTTCGAATTTCTATTCATCTATAATATTATGATACTATTTAATCTTAATTTAAATAATTTTCTATAACTATAACTAATATATGTATCTTTATTTTTTTATACATCAACTCAAAATTGAAAACTTAATAATTATTAAAAATTTAGAATTATTCAAGTTATTATTCGAGTTCTATTTTATAAATCGACTCAAATTATTTTATAATTAAAAAAATAAATTACGATTTTTTATCTTCCACCACATCAGACCTTTTATTAGACCTTTTATTAAAGCAAAAAAAAAAAGATTTTCCAACAGAATCGAGAGACGATCAGTCGAATCAAAGCAAACATCGACGAACAAATAAAACCATTTATCGATCCATCTAAGTAACATCAAATCCAGACATGATTTTCAATGAGGCCTTTCTCCTTGTAGATAGATATCCAATTATCCACCTTCACAAAATATTCAAGGAAGATCAATTAATACATAGTGCTCATGTTCTATAGAATTTAAATAACCATGACTTTCTAATGCACCAATAACCTATGCTCATAAGTGCTATAGTTCACTATGGTAAGGCAAAATCTGTTCAACCTATTTATTTCTTTTCTCAATATGAAAGAAAGACCGGCTTTAAGGATACAAGGGGGGATGATGATAGTGACGTGACCAGCCTTCCTCGACTGGATAAAAGAGAGTACATACAGACTAGAATCTTGACAGTCGCAAATCAAGAATGAGGACCTCCTTACTTACGTTAGCATATAAAGTTGTCGCAAGTCAGTGAAAGGTAGAAGGGCCTGAATCATCTGAAATTCTCAAATTATAGCGTCGTGCCAAACGTCGAACAGTTCCATCAGCCATCAAAGTATCTATCATCTCATACTTCTTGTAATTTGCTTTCAAAGTTTCTCCTTGTTGCTTTGCAAGCTTCTCCTCCTTCTCCAGTTGATGCTTCGAAAGCAACAAATAACACTTTCACTATAAAATAACAATATCTTACACGCCTAGTAGCGGATGGTTTCTATGCAAGATTTAGAATTTACCTTGAGCATCACTTCATTTTCAGTGGCATGCTTGTTCACAAGCTGCTTAAGCTTGTTTGCTAGTTCAAAATTGGGATCAGAAGGGTCCAACCAATGGACATGAAGGTGTCGACCAGGCTTTCTTGGGCGATCACCAAACATCTCGGGCACAGCAGCACGTGCCCTCACAGGCCTTGGCATTCCAGACATCATAAAAGGCAGTTCTGATAATGTCGAGATGACAACTTCAGCTTGCTTTTCTTTCTCCATCTCCACCAAAGCACATCTGGGCATGTTCCGAGGCTCCAGATAGTTCGGAAGGAACTCAACACTCTTGACATTTCCATACTGATCAAGGGCAGTTCTCACAACTGACTCCGTTACAACCGGCGATAGGTTATCCATGAAAACCGTCCGCCTCACCTTCTCTTTGAAAGCAGCATACTCATCTTGTTCAGCAGACCCCATTTAGGATCAAAACCTATAAACCTGATCATTGAAATTCCAACTTTTTCTCCAAATTTCCAAGACAATAAATTCATCCAGACAAACCAACAATATGTGACATCCCTAAAGTAAGGTTCCATTTGGCCCTATTTTTTAAAAAAATATCATTTTTAATTTACTTTTGGTGCCTCAAAAGTTGTTAAAGCAAAATCACAATTTTCTTCAAAGATAAACAAATGAATAAAGCCACAACCACCAACACATAATCTAACATATTGATTTCACATATAAAACTAAGATCATGAATTTTATTAGCAAAAAACTCATGAATTTTGATATTGAAGAAAAATTAAGCCATTGCCATTTGAAATACTTCAAAATATAGTTTCCAACGCATAAATCTCTGATTCAACGCAAATAATTTAAAATTAATTAAAAGAACCTTTTGGATTGTTCTTCAACTCTAGCGGAAGAAACGAAAATGAACAAAAACTTAATGAAAAAGCTGCAATTTTAAAGAAAACAAATATTCAGCGGAACATCAAGAGTAAAGATAGTGAAAGAGATACCTAGTGGTGAAGGCTGAGGAATGAAGAGTTGCAGCTGCGAGTCTTCCGGAGAGTTAGGCGTTCACCGCCAAGCGAAGAATAGCAAGAAAAGCCTCCGGAAACACAAAAGAAGCGAAGGAGAATTCAGTGAAGAGACGAAAGAAAGAAAAGGATCGCCATTGGAAAGACAAAGAACACTGTGGCTGAAGCGACGGCGACACCAACGACAGCGACACCGGTAGGTGAACTCAGAGAGAGAGAGAGAGAGGGGTTTGGATAGGAAATTTCGAGAGGAAAGTAATAGTTACAATCAATGAGGGTTTTATTAGGTTTAAATTTTAAAAGAACACTGTGGCTGAAGCGACGGCGACACCAACGACAGCGACACCGGTAGGTGAACTCAGAGAGAGAGAGAGAGAGGGGTTTGGATAGGAAATTTCGAGAGGAAAGTAATAATTACAATCAATGAGGGTTTTATAGTTAGGTTTAAATTTTAAAAAATAAATAAATGAACTATTTTAGTTTAGGCCCAATCCTTGTTGAACAGTTCAAGTCCAACCTTCAATCCACTAAAAAGAAATTTTTTATAGGATCTCCTTTGTCGTTGTGAAGTTAAAATAGAACTCGAAACTTTCGTAATTTAAGAAACTGAACAGTAAATATGAATTTCATCCATTAGCATTAGAAGAAACAGATCATACAAGTTACAATCAGTACAAACTTGATAGTCACAAGGAAGAATTCAAATTAATCGAAACACATGCAAGATGCAAACCAGGATATGATACTATAAAAATCCTCAAAAGTTACATCCTCTCATTCTCAATTTTTTTTACAGTTCCATTTCCCTCAACAAATACAACAATTCATAACATTTTCTGGGTTCATTTAGAAATTGTGTTGTAAGAACAAACTTTGTTGAGGAGATGCAGGGCCTATCTCTTCCTCCAAGCTTCTCAAACCATCCCCGGCATACCCTAAATTGCCCGTGTTTCTTCCTTCTATGTTCTTTCCCTCGACATCTGCTTCCGATACCGATGATTTCCGCCTTTGAGACGAAGTTACACTAGGGAAGGTAATCCATGAAGGAGCTCTAAACTCAAACCTTTGGTCCTCCACTTCTTCTGCGACTTCAGTTTCCGAGACCGATCGATTTGAAGACCGTTGAGAAGACTTCTTGTGCATTCTGTTGCTTCCCAAGATCACCTCAGTTGGCAAAATCGGTTGTTCGCTACACGGGCTGCCCATCAACTGAGCCAAAGCTCGCTCTAAAGCAGTGGTCACTTTATCCATTGATGGTCTCTCTTTTCCTCTCATTCTCACACATTTGGAAGCCACATTTGCAATCCTTTTTAAAGCTTCAATGTCTGCAGGGGGTTTTAAAACGGGGTCTAGAACTGCAGATATGTCTCCCGATTTAGTCAATGGAACTGCCCACTCAACTATATTCCCTTCTTCGTATTGCATATCAATGGCTTTTCGTCCGCTTAAAATTTCCAACAATAACACGCCGAAGCTGTAGACATCGGATTTTGTTGTGAGATAGTGAAGCCTGTAGTATTCCGGATCAAGATAACCGAGTGTTCCAGCAGGTAGCTCGGCTAATGGACTGCTACTATCTGCAGGTCCTAGTAAAGAGAGACCGAAATCAGCCACTCGAGCATTGTGTTCTTCGTCGATGAGAATGTTCGAAGATTTGATGTCCCTATGAATCACTGGCGGGCAAGCGTAACCGTGCAAGTATTCAATTCCCCTAGCAGCTTGGACTGCGATGGTGACCCTTCGGACCCAATCTAATTGCTCTTTCAAGGCTTTGTTCTTTCCATGAAGATGCTGGTGCAATGATCCATGAGCCATAAACTCATAAACCAGAAGCCGTTCTCCACCTTCTTCGCAGTATCCGAGCAGATTCAAAAGATGGGCATGGTTCAATCTTGACAATAAATCTAACTCTGTGCGGAACTCTTTCGAATTCTTCTGTTTATCTGAAGACATTATAGCCTTTTTAACTGCAACAACAGTCCCATCTTTCAATACCCCTTTATAAACGCATGAGAAACTTCCTTTTCCAACCACGGATTCTTCTTTGAATCCACCAGTGGCCCTCTCAAGTTCTTCGTAATTGAACATCCGAGCTCTCTTGATCTTAAGCTCATCGAAGTCGGAACGGATTTTTATGTTTTCCTTTCGGCAAGAAGCAACCTCATTAGCTTTCATGGATTTTGACTCTTTTGCTTTGCAGCGACAGTTATGCAACCTGTATCGAACATATAAAACTGCAGTTAACGATATCATAATAACCAGTAACACGGAAAAGGCAATCTCCGCAACGATGATTGGTAATTGCAGCGACCAGAACCTCTCGTTTTTACTTCCATTAGCAGCATCAGAATTCGAAGACGAAGAACAATTAGAGAAGCATTCCACTGAATTGCAACTAGAACAATTGTAATCACAAACACGATCGGCCTTCAAAGTACATCCTGATTTTTGGTACATTTCAGCAGGGCAACCAATGCTGCAGGGCATACAAATATGAAAGTTAGGAGACTTGCAAGGTGCATTCTTAGGACTAACTTCATAGAAACCCAGTGTGCAAGGAGTGTCTTTGCAAAGTCCGGGTGAGACTGCAAGAGGGAGCGAGGTGGGGAATCCGACGCCCCAACAAACTGGGAGAAAGGATTTTTCGGCTATAACACCACAGGTGAAGTAATTTCCAGCTGCAATTCCATAGACTTTAACACCTTTCGGAGGAGGGGTACATGGATTGACAATGAAACCCCAGCAAACCACTTGGTGATCGTAACTCTTGATTCCACAAGCATGAAACTTCCCTCCAACAACTGTGAGCATCAGATCTTTCGGCGGCGAATCAACATTTCCTTGACGTGAATATGCAACTGGCATGGACAGTTCTTCTTCGAGGTTCAAGCTCCTTCCCCAGCAAAAGACTCTAGAGTTCAACCCTTCCAAAATCCCACATACATGATATCCCCCAGCAGCAACCTTTTGAAACCTCATTTCTCTAGGAATCAAGCTAATGACATGGCTATTCGCCTCATCACCCCAACACAAAACAGTCATGTTCCGAGAAAACAACCCGCAGTTAAACTCCGATCCCGCAGAGAGTGATTCAATCTGCCCATCAAACACATAGTTCTTGGTCATATTATAACCCCAACAATCAACCAAAGCATAATTTTGACGCTTTCCGGTTAAAGGCTTTCTCAAACCGCATAAATGGTAATCTCCTGCAATGATTTCTACATACTCGGCTCCCTTAATCATTGGCTGAGGAACCCCCATTTTGACATAGCCGCTGCTTCCCCAACAATAAGGTTGGTTCGAATCCATCAACAGGCCACAAACGAAACCGTCACCGGCAGTTAGACCCACAAATGGGAAATGAGAAGGGGTCCCATAGATGACTGCAGCATTTGATCCATAGCAGGTCACACGATGTGAACCATCAGGTTTTAAGCCACAAAAAACAGGACCATTCTCGCCATAAGAAATGGCAATACTAGACATCGAGCCTAGACCCGAAACTAACCACCATATATTCAACAAAGCCACAAGTGAGACCCAAACAGAAGAATCTCTAATAAATAGGCAGAGAACTACCATTGCAGCACAATATGAACCTAACTGTTCAAAGCTAACTTGAATACACACCCACCACATCAACACTGTACCTCAGATACTTTGCATAACACCTTTCTAATGTACCCTTTGCAGTATAAACATGATTCTCTATCATTAAAAATAGCAATGGAGTTGAAAAAATGAGACCAAAACCAAATATCTGAAGCTCCTTACCTAAAAACCCAGATCAAAACACTCCCTTGCACAAGTTTTTGTAGCATGGAAACCAAACAATATCACCATTTCTGCAATTTGGATACACAGACAAGTAAAAGAAGCACTGAAGTTGTAGCTGAGAAGCCATTTCAGGCAAGGCAAAACCCTGGGTAGCATCCCATACTCTTAGCTTTGCATGTAGTTTCTTGATAGAGACGGTAAATGGGAAAACACCCGAAAGAGCAAAAGGAAAAAGGGATGAAAATAATACACAAGAAATCTAGTGGAGAAGGGAAGTAGATGATGGTTGGTGTAGTTTATGCAGCGAAGAATGTAGTGAGAAAGGGAAAGGGAAAGAACAATAAATGTGGATCAAACTGCTGCTTCTGAATATTGGTAAATGTTGGTGAATGCATTTAATGAGAAGTTAATGCCATTCATCTTAAAAATATTTTTAAGTTATTTCATAAATATGTGTACTTTTTTGATATTTTAAACCTTATTTTCCCCCTAAAATACTTCACTAATTTTCTTTCAAAGTATTGTCTTAGTCGGAGTTTTAAATATCATCATCTTTTTTTGTTCTTATTTTCTTTTAATTTAAATCTAAGTAAACATCATCCCGCTTTGATTTCTTTCTTTTCGTATATTCTTTTAGTATATTACTAATATATATTTTTTAACTTCTATATTTATCTAAATTCTCATTCCACATTCTTGCTTATATTTATAAACTAAATGAATTTAAAATTAAAAAGAAGAAGAATGAAGCAATTTTAATTCCCAACAAAATGGTTAGTCACTTGAAGTGACACAAACTGGCAAAATATGATATAACTGCCACGAACAAGTTATTTCGTAACATTAAGTCCGAATTATTATTTATCAATTAAAAATTTTATAATTATATTTAATTATAAATATTAATAAAAAAATGAAATTTTATTAATGCATTTGCTTAAAAAATGGAATCATGGGAACAGGCCCTTGCTAAAACCAACGGAAGCATGTGCCACATTTATAAGGAAGTGAAGTAGGCTAAGGACCATATGATGCAACCAATGAATGAACCAACCTACCCACGTACTTCAACTTCATAATTTTATTAAACATAAAGATATTAATGTATTTCTATATAAAACCGCATATATGTTATTAAATACTAAAATTCTAAATTTTACATATGAAAATTGCAATTATAACATATTTTACGCAGATATTTAGAAAATTTAGAAAAAGAAGAAGAAGTGAACTTGTTTTTAATATCACTGCTATATCAAAGATGGGGTTAACTAACAAAAATTGATTTGAATTATAATATTTAAAGTTTAAACATTTATTATTCACAAATTTAAAAATAACAGTCATTCAAATAAAATTAAGGGTAAAATACATCCAAATATATTATACAGCTGTCACGACTTTCAATCAGGTAAATATCCTTTATATGCCAAAGGGATTTCCTTTCCAACGTGGGATAGCATGCTTTTACAGTCTGGAGTATTATCAACACATCAAAGACAGTGGATGTAGAATCTCATGCTTGTTCCCATGTATGAGGAAAAAGCTGCCAAATCCCTACAGGAGAACAAAGTTGGTGGATGTTGAAGACCTTGAAAGGAAAAGGGATAGGTTATTATAGGGGATATAAGGTTATTATAGGGGATATAGGGTTTTTACATGGGACAACAAGATAGAACGAACAACAAACTAGTTGGACGAACACAAACTTGAACGCTACAGCCTTACAACATAAACTTTTTGTTAGATTGAAGCTGACTTTGGATTTCCTTGTGTGTTAAACATCAAATCAAGAGAACACACAGAACACACATTTTCTCATATGCAAACAAAAAGAGATGAACTATTGCCTGTTCTTCAACTAATGTAGGCAACTGATACCTAAATGTCTCTTTATGAAGCCGAGTTGAGCCTACAAGTCCACCTTGTTCTGAATATATTTTATGCTTTGAATCAACCAAATTCCCAAACGCACCATCTTCACGAAGTGAAATTAATGCCTTTTTCTGGTGAACAACGTCTTTGGACACCGATATCTGCAATGAATGACAGGCATTCAGGAATAGTTACACCAGAACTCACAGAATTACAACCATTTTGCAGGGTAGAATTATCGCGTCATTCTCAAGATTAGAATTCTTATGCTTCACCATGAGAAGATTTAGTGCACCATCTGATATATTTAACGTAGCATCACTGGTTAATGTCTCCCTTGGAGAATTAGTATTTGAATCAGAGTTATCAAAACATCCATCTTTGGCAGAGGATGCACCAGAAGAAAGTATGTCTTCTTGAACATCAGGAAGATCTTTAAATGAGGGCAGTCCTTGATGTCTTTCTAAGTGCTCTGACATATCACATATCTACAGCTTCAGCACATGTTGTCATTACAGTGGAGCCCTAGGCACACCATCTCCATTTGAATGATCAAGCTGCAATGCATTATGTTCTTTTACTGTCAAACTTGGTGGTAATCCAGAGTGAATACATCCGTCTGCTATTCCCCCATCATCTACATCAAACTGAAAGGAATTTAGCTGTTTTTAACCTTCGCCAAAGTGCCCAAGCCCATTACGGAAACTCTGAGACTAGCTATGGGACATGTTCTGGCATATAGAAACCTCACTCTTCAATTTCTCAACCCAGTCTGATGGGTTTGAATTTAAATCAACATAAAGGTTAATTCCCTCTTCTGCAAAAGTCACTATTGTTATCCATTTGTTAAAAAATGATTATTTTCCCTGTTAAATTGATGACGTGACAACATTAATAAAATTGTTAATGTATATTTTTACCCCTAAATTACTCCTAAACCATCAAATAGTTCCTTGAATAAATTTTTATATCTACATTGACAGCTCCTTGGACAACCCAACGCAACTCTAGATACCACCCCACGAAGCACAGAAATATTGGCTATCAGAATCAACGAAACTCTGGAAACTCAAATATGACACCATCAATGTGATCAATAAAAGGGCCCCATAGAAACATGGTGTTGGTCGAAGCGAAACAATGATGGAATTGACGTTCATATTGTGCCCTATGTTGATCTTAAACTTCCCCGGCGTCGACGAGAACAACTCCTCCTCAAGGACGGCATTGTTGTATTATTTTCAAATTAGAATTTCTTGTTTAGGTAAATTAGATTTAAAATCATTATTTAATGACGCATTTGATGTTTTAACAATAGCTTAGGGGTAAAAATTTATATTAACATTTTTATTAACGTTGCCACATTACCAGTTTAACAGGGATGACGATAAAATGATCATTTTGTTATAAATCGATAATGTTAGTGACTAATTTGTTACTTATCAAACTTCAGTAAGAGAAATAAAACCTTACTAAAACATTAGTGACCACTCGTGTAGTTTAAACAATGATCGAAGTTGCCGTTTTTGGTTATAACAAGGAAGTTGTAGAACTCACCTTGATCTTCATAAATCATAGCAAGGACGGCTAAAAAGAAATTATAAAAAAATAATTTATTTTTTATTCTTCCAAGAGCTTTGTGATATATAAATAGGGTTGCAAATTCTTATAATTAAGCAAAGCCAAGGCAATTAGCAGAAATCAAAGAGAGTTTGAGGGAAAATGGCAAAATCCAACAGCAAACTTTCAATGTATCTCAACTTCGTCCTTTTGATCTCTCTTCTTCTAATCATCAACATGGCAGAAAGTAGGTTTTTTCGATGTAAGTTTTCCGGTTTCGAGTTTCATTTAATTTATATATAAGATAAACGAATATCAATTAACATTATCATTCGAAATGAATTTATTCAGAGAAGAAATTAAAATTTTATTTAAGAATGAGTTCATTTGAAACGTTTAAGAGTCTTATAATAATCTCATTTGGTTTCTTTAAAATTTAAAAAAAAAATTGTGTCAAAGTATTTGGTTATGTAGTTTATAATAGGATTGTAAATGAGATGAGATATATCGCAAATTACTCGAGTTCGACTAGATCAAAGTTTGGTCAACATTTGATTTGAATGAATTTAAATCGAGTTCTTAATGAGCAGAAATAAGTTACTTGATACTCTACTCAGAAAGCTCGCGATCAATTAAAAAATAATTTTTAATTTTTAAATTTTTTAAATTAAGTTATTAATAATATTAACATTTAGTTATTTTTTTTAATAAAATACAATATAAATTTCTCTTGTAAATAAGGTTCAGTTCGAATTTGAGTTTGACCCTTCAATCGAACTAAGTCTGAGAATATTTTGACATCACATTTTTTCGAACTCGAGTCGAACTTGACAATTTAAGTTCGCGAGCTTTCGAGTCGAATCAAACTCAACTTTAACTTTTCGAATCAAGTCGAACTCAACAATACTGAAGCACGAATCAACTCGTTTAGAGCCTCTACTCACTTCAAACTAATGATGTTTTGCAGCTGGGGATGGGGAGGCCAAAATTTTGAAACCAACTTGTGTGTCGATTTACGGGCAACAAGAAGGAGATACTTGCTTTGGCATCTCTCAAGCATTCAATTTGACTATTGGTGCTTTCTTGCAACTCAATCCCAATCTTAACTGCGACAAAATCTTTGTGGGTGAATGGCTCTGCGTCCAAGGTTTGCCCTTCTAATTTCGTTTGGAAGGGAATTGAATTAAATTAGGTTTGAATTTCCAATAAAACGAGTAGGAATAAATTGTTGGTCATCAACATTCAACCATGGAACAAAACATGCTTCATGTTGATGTTCAACCTTGTTTGAATACATTACCATCTTGTTGCAAGTGGGTACTTTGAAATGTATCCAATTTATGATTTATGTGAAATGTCTTTTCCGATTCTTTTTTATCCATCCAATTATATTATTCGTATTTTTAAAATATATTTAGATCGAACCATCAAGTGGCTTCAATGATAAAAGGAAACGTTAATCTTTCTAGATGCTTTGAGTTCAAACAATGACTTTTGCAGCGTGTGTATTATCAAATATTTATGTATATATCTTTTGAAGCATTCATTGTTGTAAACATATTTCAACAGAAGTTCAGATTCTTCCATTACAGAACATTGTTCGACTAAAACACATACAACACTTGCATAAACCCATACAAAAACCTGCTTGATAGTTCTTTAAAGCACAGGAAAACTACTTATGGAGACCCAGGCAATTTTCTTTCACGTCATTCTTATGGAAATGAAACAGTTTGTGTTCCAGAAAACTGTGTCAGCATTTAGGAACTAAAGCTCTCATACACTACATGCATTACTCGAACAAAACATATCGATGCTTGTTGAAATTAATGCTGTGTTCTTCCATCACCCTCGGTGATCACATCTTTGAAAGCGCCTCCACTGGGGATCATAGGCAGGACATGTTCTTGATGTGGGACAATCACATCCAACAAGTAAGGTCCCGGAGTGTCCAACATTTTCTGAATTGCTGATTTGAGATCTTCTTTCTTCGTCACTCGGGCAGCTGGGATTCCGCATGCTTCGGCAAATTTCAACATATTAGGGAATATTTCAGACTCATTCGAGGGATCACCCAAGTATGTATGAGCCCTGTTTGCCTTGTAAAATCGGTCCTCCCATTGAACAACCATGCCCAGATGCTGATTATTCAACAATAATATCTTAATTGGAAGGTTATCCACACGGATAGTTGCCAACTCTTGCACATTCATGATAAAACTTCCATCACCATCGATGTCTACAACAACTGCACCAGGGTTTGCAACGGCAGCTCCAATTGCAGCAGGCAATCCAAACCCCATAGCCCCCAATCCTCCTGATGTTAACCATTGACGGGGCTTCCTGTACTTGTAAAACTGAGCAGCCCACATTTGATGCTGACCGACGCCAGTACTTATAATCGCATCCCCACCGGTTAATTCATCAAGAACCTGAATGGCATATTGAGGTGGAATAGCTTCACCAAAGGTCTTGTAACTCAATGGAAATTTCAACTTCTGCTCGCTTAACTCATGTCTCCAATCCGAAAAATCAAGATTCAGATTTGCTCCCCGGGTCTCCAAAATCTTATTAATCCCCTGCAATGCCAATTTCACATCAGAACACACCGACACATGAGGCTGCTTATTCTTCCCAATTTCAGCAGAATCAATGTCGATATGCACAATCTTGGCCCGGCTAGCAAAAGCCTCGAGTTTTCCAGTCACCCTATCATCAAATCTCACTCCAAAAGCTAGCAGCAAATCACTCTTATCCACAGCATAATTTGCATACACAGTTCCATGCATCCCAAGCATTTGTAAAGACAACTCATCTGAAATCGGAAACACCCCAAGACCCATCAAAGTACTTGCAACAGGTATCCCTGTAAGCTCAACAAACCTCTTCAACTCCTCACTAGAGTTCAAGCACCCACCACCAACATATAAAACTGGCTTCTTAGACTCGGAAACCAGCCTCACAATCTGTTCCAAATGAGACTCATTGGGACCCTTAGGCAACCTAGACAAATAACCAGGCAACCTAAGAGGCTGGTTCCATTTAGGAACGGCAAGTTGCTGTTGTATATCCTTAGGTACATCAACCAGAACAGGTCCAGGCCTGCCCGAGGTAGCTAAAAAGAAGGCCTCACTAACAATCCTAGGAATATCATCCACATCAAGAACAAGATAATTGTGCTTCGTAATAGACCTTGTTACCTCGACGATAGGAGTTTCTTGGAAAGCATCGGTGCCGATCATCCTACGAGGGACTTGACCAGTGATTGCCACGAGCGGAATGCTATCGAGCATTGCATCAGCGAGACCACTCACCAAGTTGGTTGCCCCAGGGCCAGACGTCGCAATGCAAACACCGGGAATGCCAGAGGAGCGCGCGTAACCCTCAGCGGCAAAGACCCCGCCTTGTTCATGTCGTGGAAGGACATTTCGAATTATTTTGGATCGGGTTAAAGCCTGGTGGACCTCCATTGAAGCTCCACCCGGGTAGGCGAACACGTCCTTAACCCCTTCACGTTCCAGGGCTTCCACGAGGATATCGGCGCCTTTCCGGGGCTCATCATCCGCATAACGGGAAATGAAATCATGGGAAGGAGCAGTTGTTTGGGGAACGGCGGCGGTGGTGGCGGCGTATCTAGGATTTGAGTTTGCATGAGAAAGGGAGAAGGAAACGTCGAGGTAACGGTAATGGGTTGTGGAGAAGGGAGAGTGGATTTGGAAACGGATATTGAAGATTTGAAGGAGGAAATTGACGGGGAATTAGCGAAACCGGTGTTCGCGGTGGCAGCCGCCATTGTTGATGAGAAGCTTGTGGCTAGGCGTTTGTTTAGTTGGTGACTGTAGAGCGAGAGAAGAAGCAACTTGTGACTGAGATTCCCTTTCAACTTTGGATTTTATATTGCAAAAAGGAAAATGTTTGGATTTTAGTACATCTATATTACCTTTTTACCCCTATAATTTTTAATATTAATGTTTATGAATTTTTTTAATAATTTATGCGATTATAAGGTAATTATTGTTTAAAATATTTTAGTTTAATGACGAAATATACATTACAGACGCAATTATTCATATAGAAAAATATTATTCTTTTTTATTAATGAGAGTACGAAATTATTTAATAGATTCAAATGATGTATTATAATTGAATTATGATAATAGGTATTTTATCATTATTCGATCATCTTTGTTTTATTTATTTTGTTTAATAGAACTTATTGAGTAATCTCCGATACCATATTAGCTTTACACAGTTAATAGCAAATTAACAAATGAATATTAATGTTATTTTTTTGTACTCTTTACAAAGTAACCAATACACGTTTATATAGCTGCATGCATGCAGCTAACTCTAATAACCCAACTAACAGCTAAGCAATCTAACCACTTAAGTTACTCAGCTAACACCACGTGTATAAGTTTGAATATTTATATTTATAGAGTTTGTGCGTTGTTAATACTTAAAAAATATTTTATTAATTAAATAACTCGTATTGGGGACTGCAAAGGTGAGCCCTCCCCGCTCAATTTGTTCCATTCGTAAATGTTAAGATTCGAATATATATCCTTACTTAAAGAGATCTAATGTCTCATCTCATTATCTTGATTAATAAGTAAAAAAAAGGCTAAATTCAATGAATAATTTATTTTAGTTGTGGAAATAATACATCCTTTTAATTTGAGTAATTTTAATTCCGTATTTTATGAGTTCAAATCAATATAATCATTAAATTTGGACCAAACCAATTATTGATAACCGTTTGAATAATTTAACGATACGATCATTTTTATTAATTTATTATTTTGTCATTACATTAACCGTCGACGGAATAATGAATTCAATTTTCACGTGATTATAAATCTATTTTTGAAAATGAATAATTAAATCAATATAATCATTAAATTTGGACCAAACCAATTATTGATAACCGTTTGAATAATTTAACGATACGATCATTTTTATTAATTTATTATTTTGTCATTACATTAACCGTCGACGGAATAATGAATTCAATTTTCACGTGATTATAAATCTATTTTTGAAAATGAATAATTAAAAATAAAATAGAATACTGAATACGGAGGTCATTTTCTTTGTCTTTAAACCCAATAGAGATGAAAAAAGAGAGGGGAAAATCTCAAAATAAATGAATTTCAGTCTCATTCTAATTTAAAATGATAAGAAAATAAAATATATGAGAGATGTAAATCACGTGTACAAAATTATATATTTATAATAAAATATTTTGTTTTCCCATTTTTTTTCTTACTTCATCAAATGTGAAAAAGAAAGAAAAACACTTTTTCTTTCATATTTCATACCAAACAAATTATCCAAGAAAATATACATCATCTAATTTTATATTCTTTTAACTGTTTTTTCTATTCTATTTTATCAAGTAAAACTTGTGCATAATGGTGTTGAAAAATAAAAGGATGAATAGATGAACGTGAAAAATTAAAAAACAAAACAAAACATAAATTTTATATGCTTAGTTAAAATGAAAAATGAGAGTAAAACAACGTCAAAATCGATATCATTTTTCATTTTATGATAAACTGCACATTTAGGAGCTAAATTATTATTTTCTTCTATTTTGGTATCTAAATTTTTATATTTTATTAAATCATATCTAATATTTACTTTTCATTTCGTTTTGGTACATGTCGTTAAAAAGTTAAAGAAACTTATGTACGTGGTAATTTTTTATGACTAAAGTAATAATTTAGATATTAAATATGTAGTCTTTTTCAAATATGAAAAAAAAATAAGTTAAATGTGTATATGTACATGATTATTTTCTTAAAAAATATAATTTTCTTTATCTTTCTTATAGGTTTTCAATTTTAGTAAGCAATAAAAGGAATAAATTGTGTTTTCTTCCCATTTCTCAATAAAACAAAAATATATATATTCTACCTTTATACTTTTAATTTTTGTTTTTTTACAAGCAAAGATTCTTGCTGACAATTGTAAAACGTACAAACACCCCATTTCTCAAATAATATAGCTTATAAATAGGTTTAAAAAAGATAAAAATAATAGTATAAACATGGCTATATGGGCATGGTATCCCCCCTGCGCAAGTGGGCACTTGTACTGATGTTGTTTGCTGTGCTCATGGAGGTGGCCTGAAAGAAAGAAAAAACAATACAAAAGGATAATCCAGGAGTAAGAGTCGGATTATCTGATTTCTACCGCTCATGGTCGGAAGGAACAAGATGGGAGCCTTCAATTTTATTAAAGATAGGAAGATCAAAAGAATTCAAGGATGGACAAAAAACCTGCTTTCGTTTGGAGGAAGAGAGGTGTTTCTTGGAAGCTAAACTTGGAGAGAAGGCTTCCTATGCTTGGTCTAGTATTTTTAAAGCAAAAGAAGCATTGCGTGAAGTACTTTTTTGGAGGGTGGGTCGTGGGTTTCTATGGGGATGCCAAAACGTTCTGTGATAGGTGGGGTGACTCAACCCCTATTTTCTTGTCGTCCTCTTTTCTCGATAATTCTGATTTCATGGTTGATGGGATGCCTAGGTGGAATGAAGGGAGGGTGAGGAAGATTTTGACCCGTGAGGATGCGAGTAAGGTTATTAGCACACTTATCTCCCCAACATTGGAGGATATAGAATGATCTGGTGCCACCACAACACAGGTTGTTACTCGGCTAAATCAGGCTATAACTGGTTTTTAATGAAGAAATCACACCTTGTAACCGAGGTAAAATCTCGAAACTTTTAACAAAGCTCTCTACTCCGCCCAAAATTAAAATCTTCGATTGGAGACTCCGTCACGATGCGCTAGCTTCCTACAGGGGAGAAATTGCTGAATGCTCGGTTGCGTGGTGGATCTGCCCTTTGTGTTCCATGGAGCTGGAATCGTCACTGCATGCGTTGAAAAATTGTCCTAAGACTCGATCACGCTGCTACTTTCTGACCTTGCGGCTTCGATTATCAATCGGCAGGGCACCTCTTGCAAGGAGTGGCTAGAATGGGTTGCCAACCACTTGGATAGAGACGAGTTCACTCGAATGCTTTTGCTGCTTTGGAACCTTTGGAATTGACAAAACAAGTGGGTGCACGATGGAAAGATGCAAGAGGACCGAGATGTGGTTGCTACAGCTTGGGGGTTAATGTCAGAATTTTCCGAAGCCAATTCTTGTGCAGGTGCCTTAAGTATTCCCACCGGTACCACCCGGACACGTTTGTGGAGTAGACCGACGCCCAGTATTATCAAGATCAATGTGGATGGGATATTTATTGCGAACTCCAATGAGGCAGCTATCGGGATTGTGGTGCGCAATCAACATGGTATGATAAAGGGAGTGTTAGCAGGCAAGATTGATCCACTACCCATCGCCGAATCTGTCGAAGCTTTGGCCTTCATTCATGGTGAATCGTATTGTGAATCGATGAAAGGACATTTCAACCATCAGATTGATGCTCAACAATGCTCACGAGATCATCTCTAACAACCTAGGCTTCAATATTCTCTATATTAACTGTGACGCTAATAGGGTTGCTCACTATTTGGCTCATTGGGCGTTATCGAGAACCAATCCGTTTTAGTTTTATTACGATGAACCCAAATGAATTAAAAACGTTGTAATACTTCGAGCCATTGGAATCTAAATGAAAACATTTTTTTCCTAAAACAAACAAACAAACAGGCATGAAATAATGGTAATGATAAAATTATTCAATAATAAGAATAATCTTATTTTAGAAGGGTTTAAATACTTTTTTTTAACTTTTCTTATTTCCTTTCTTCTTCTTCTTTTCTCTTTGTCTTCTCTTTAGAAACATAAATTAGTCGTTCTCGCCTGTCACCGATTTCATGGGCGAACTTTCGTGGAGTTAAGAGTAGCATTGGTCCCCGCCAATTATTTTTTAAGTATTAATTAATATTGAAAAAAATTAAAAAATAAATAAAGAAAAATTTATCAAGTCCCTCAATTAAAAAATTGTATTTATGAAAAATAAAAAGTGTTTTAACCTCACTTTAATAAATTACTAGTTACGCCCCTTACAGATTTGTTGTCATAAGTGGTCAGAAGTTACCAAAATATATCGAGCACTTCATCTGGATGAGCTCGGCTCTAGGGACGGTTTAATCGGCAAATGCCTCGAGTGGCGTAGATCGAGTAAAGAATCTCTGGACTTCCTTTCGTTAATTTCCCTACTCTATTGATGGATCGTCTCCACTTCTAATTATGTTTCCATTCACGATGCTACCTCGTCTCACACCCTTTGAATTGCCAAAAAAAAAATTCAATCTCCGGTGGTATTAGCAACAGAACGATATGTTTTCTATTTATTTCCTTTTCCTCATTTTTAATCACTAATTTTTCTTTGCAACCTTTGACTCTAGTTTCTTTCTTCAAATTTTCGTTTATTCTCTTTGTGGTTTAAATAAGAGTTATCACCTGTTGACATAGATATTATACAATGATAGACAAATTTAATAAAAAAATATATTTAAAATGAAAGAAGAATCGAAGAAACAGCCAAATCACAAATCAACCAATCAAGTTACATAGTTAAAAACCAAAATAATATCATTTTAGTTTTTGGCCTTTTTGGTTGAACTTTGAAAATCTGAATTTGTCTCTCAAATAGGAAATCCGAGTAAAAAATTCTAGTTGACTTGAATTTACTATTTAACCAATTAACATTTCTAATTTTTTTATTTTACTTTCCTTATTAATTTAAATTACTCAAGCAAAAATGACATAAATCATAACATTTCAGTGTCTTTCCTTAACTCTTTTTTATTACAAATTATTTATCCAAAGAATATATTTAAAAAAATGAAATTAAATTCTCACAACTTGAACAATTCGCGTGAAATAAGTGAAGACAGACGTTTATGAAGCATTCGGCATTAGGCCAACTGTGATAAATTATACGTTACGCAGGAATACGTTACATTTTGTTGTTGGCTTCGTTGTGCTTAGATACGTTACATAGCAGGGCACACGTTTTTCTCCGTTTTGAAGGCAACCTTACGAGCAAAAGAGGGAAACAAAGTATAGCAGACGTCATAGACATGGCGATTTGTGTCCTTTTTTTTGTTTTAAAATTTTCATTTTTATGAAATTATTCGGTGACATCAGTGGTTAAAGAGAATGTTGTTCTCTCTAGAAGTTTTATATTCGATCAACTGTGTTTGTCAAGGATGGATCGACAAATTAATATATATTTTAGATTTATTTTTTATTTTTAGTTGATAATTTATTTTCACCCCCTAGAATTTTAGAGGTTCTCCCCCTCCGAAAATTTTAGAAGCTTGTCCACCCTAGCATTAGATCTTGCTTCCTTCTCTGGTTTCTACAATGTGTGTGCGTTATCAATGGTAACGTCAAATAAAACTAACGAAAGGTAACGTCAGAGACCTTACTGAAAACAAACTAAAAGTTCAATGACTGTATTGCAAGTTTTAAAAATTGGGTGACCAAAATGCAAGTGCCCTAAAAGTTCGGATACTATTTATATACTTTACCCTAAAATAAATTGTAATATAAATATATATATATATATATATATATATATATATGCACACATATATGAATCAAAACGTTTTTGATAGTGATATTAATAACAGCAAGTTGCAGATAACGTACTCTATTGTTATTATTGTTTGCAAATTCAGTTTGTAGGTTAATGTTTGCAGGTTACCTGACAAATGCACGAGACAAGTTTGAGATCAGACGGTGTTACAGGAAATCTGGTAAGCTTGGGTGAAAAATAATGTTCAGTTTTATTAATATCTTCCTTCACTCTCTTGGACTTTTCTTATCTTAATCAATTAATACTCAAACAAGGGGTAAGTCGATAGAAAGAACATCAAGAAACAGATGATTTAAAAGATCGATGATCTAAAGCAAACATGAAGATATACTACATATAGAGTACAAAATAAAAGAAAAACATTTAAAAAATGGTTGGAAACTAGAAAGATGCATTTAATGCTAAAGTTGCACTGTCAGTTGTAATTGACCTAGAAGATGAGCAGGATGTATTCATGTCCCAGGATTCGATTATGTCATCTGTTTCAGATTCTTCATCCCCACTCTCTTCAATATCATAACCCTGTTCTGACGATTTTATCAACTCTAGCTCCATTGCTACTTGTTTCATTGTTGGTCTTTTCTTTCCATTAAGATTTAAGCATCTTTTTGCTAGCTTAGCCACTGCTATAATCTCTCTTTCCGGGCCATTATTTACTACCATTGCATCGAGAATGTCAAATAAAGAATTCTCCTGCATTGAATTGAGAAAAAATGATACCAAGCTTCTTACTTCCTCTGATTGTTGTGAGGAGATTGGCTTTTGTCCCGTTAAAAGTTCAACAAGAACAACTCCGAAACTGTAAACATCGCTCTTCTCCGTAAACTGGCTTGATTGAAAATACTCCGGATCCATGTATCCAAAAGTTCCCTGCACCCGAGTAGTTAAATGAGTTTGTTCAAGTGCAACTGATCTCGAAATTCCAAAATCCGACACTTTTGCCCTGTATTTATCATCCAAAAGTATGTTGCTAGATTTGATGTCACGGTGATAAATAGGAAGAGAAGCAGCTGAATGCAGATAGAATAAAGCATTTGCTATTTCAATTGCAATCCGTAAGCGCATCTCCCACGTCAACGGAAAGTCTTCATTTTGGCATTGAATGAGATCATAGAGTGTTCCATTTGGGATGAACTCATACACCAGCAAAGGGACCTGAGCCTCTAAACAACATCCTAACAACTTAACAACATTTCTATGGTTAACTTGACACAAAATTATCACCTCATTAATGAACTGTTCAACCTTATTTACATTAAACTTCTTCCCTTCCATCAGTTTGGACTTCTTGATAGCCACAATACTTCCATCCGTAAGCATTCCTTTGTAAACAGTTCCTTGGCCTCCTTGACCAAGGATTCGGTTCTCGTTATAATAATCCGTAGCCTTTTCCATCTCCTTTGAAGTAAACAACTTTAATTTTTCAACATTACCTTTGCTGTTAGACAAATGTTGTTGGAGTAACAGACCTCCATTCCTTTTGAAGTATTTCCGCTTCAGCTTAAAATTTTGTCTTCTTTTGAGGACACTGAACGCTCTCCATATTCCAAGGAGCATAAATATTGTCCCAATTGTAGTGCAACCTATATGAAACACAATTCTATCAAGATAAATTAAGCAACTAATCAAATGAAATTAATGAAAAAATTATTAATAACTAGTACTGCATTAAACTCGTACCTATAATGATGGCCAAGTTTCGAATCTTTTTTTGACGACACTGGTGGACTAAACGTTGATGGTGTGATATTTTTGGGCTCGCACCTCTCACTCATTCTGTTGTAATCAAATTCTGGGGGGCAAGACTCAGATGAACAATAGTTGTCAGGAGTATTCACACAAAGCATATGGCAGAACCTATATTTAGAACTCCCACATTTCGCATCTGTCATCCATGTAAAAATGTTATTTTCATACAAGTTTAACAGAAAAAAAAGTAGGCATGTAATATGGATAAATTGATTAGTACCTAGGCATACATCCCAAGACAGAGCACCGTAACGGGCTATGCCGCACACACAGAGATAAGTAGGGCTCAACTTTTGCCAGCAATATTGACTATTGGGGCTACAACGAATGTTAAAGCCTTCTTTCAACTGGCACAACCCCGACATGGGTGTACCCCATCGCAGTGTTGCATTAACATGCGTCAATTCAAGGCGATCCGGGTTTGACATCCAGTCTATGATGACGTGTTTATCAACCACAGAAGCAAATCCGCATGATCCTTTACTGCTATTACTGGAATCAAGCCTAGTCATATTTGCAGAAAAAAGAATTGAGACCAGGAGGAATATGTATATAACAGAAACTAGTAACACCAGAGTCCTCTTTACTAGTTCTACAGCTCGGTTGCAAACAGCCACCAATAGGATGATCTGTGTGATAATAAAAAAGAGTAGCCAAATTACCGCAACCTGGTGACCAGAATATGTTATCGGCCACTGAGAAGTAAAATGGGGTCTTTGTTAAGTTGACACTGTTCCCATTGACATGGTTTTTGTTTTTGCCACAGTTGAAATATGTTATTGGATAGTTGACCTTAACAGTTCCTTCCAAAAATGAAACCTCGAGTAGTTCCAGATTGATGCTATGTATGTAAGGCACCGTCTTATTGTTGATTTCACTGCAAGTTACTCTAAATTGGTCATCTATGTAATCTCCATGCTCAATCCCAAAAGGATACCCAACAGCCCCACATGTTTTTTTAGCGTTAGACTTGAGAGGTGCCGTGCCAGGTCCTTGGCATAACGGGGCTGCTTAGCAGGAACAAGTAAATTGCAACAAGTTAAGAAGCATTAAAATCCAACTCATATACATATGTAAATTGAGTTTAGACTGACCTTCCAGATCACAATCGAAGTTATTAATCCACTCAAGCGTTGCAGCAACATGCGTGGTGTTGATATCGATATCACTGGGAAACTGGAAATCATATTCATATGAATACTGCACTGGGTCAAACAGGAACGCGGAAGTGCATTTCTTGCTGTCCCCTTCACCAGTAGCATTAGCATAGAGGGGTGTCAAGTTGACAGTATAGGAAGTGAGATCTTCGATTGTGACAAAGCAGCCAGATATAGAATCCCCATCGATGCACATTTTTTGCAAGCAGCCGGCAACAGGATCAGTTCGGTTACCAAAAACAGTAGCCAAATTCCCGCAACCTACTGAGCCGAAAAAATCATAAGAACCTGAGAAGAAAAAGGGACTGTCTTTTAGATTGACACTCGTACTAGCGCCATTTCTATTGGGACAATCAACGTATGTCACTGGATTATTCACAACAACGGATTCCGATGAAACACTAAGTATCTCCAGCTTGAGGCGATGGAGGTAAGGCTTGTGCCCATTGCCGGTCTGGTTGCAAGTAACTTGAAACCAAGAATTCGTATAACAGCCAGTTTCTATTCCGAATGGGAGTGAAATATTAACATTCCCACATACTTCTTGCCCACAAACAGGCTTGCTTGCAGGTTCTTGTGATTTTGCTGCCTGTAATATTGGGAAAAACATGAGTATGGGTAGCAGGACCGAGTAAAATACAGAATGGAAATCCATTTGGCTTGCTAATTTGTTTGGGAAAAATGAAGATTCAGATTGGGTTTTTATTGTTTAACAAGTCATTATCAGGTTAAAATTGGTAATGAAATTTCCCGGTTATTGCCTTCCAATTATATATATATATATATTAAAGAATGATATATTCATCACATGGCAATGGCATGAATGCTTCTCAAAATTTTAATTAAGAATGGGAGTAGTTATAAAAGTCCTCAGTCCACCAAAGTTGAACATTTGAGTCATTATTAATTAAACAATGGTTCCAAAATATATTATTGTTGATGTGAACATGTTATCTCATCACTTATTAACAGTTCACTCTTTATAGTTTGGACAGAGAGTCACAATCAGTTGAGATTTAATCATTAACTGGTGTTTCTCTGCGAGAGAGACAAACACATGAGGAAGAATATAAGAATAAGAGAAAAAGAAGTGAAGAGGATCTCCTCTCAATCGTGGCTGAAAGGTATAAATAGTGACTTTAGTTGATGGTGTCGGACATAGGGTTATTATGGCTACTCACAGATTAACATACTAAATAGATATGATCGTTAGATCTTAGATTTCGTTTTGAAAAGTAATATTTTCGATTTCAACTTAAAATATTAAATTGTACAACTTAAAAAGTTAAATTTTGATAAGATTTTTTATTGCAATAAATTTATGTTATTTTTATTCTTAAATTAACAAGTTATATTTTAGACTCTCTTGGAAAATATTATTGATTTGCATATGAAGAGTATGATTAACTTGGTTCACATAAAATACTGTAGATAATTCAAAGGATAAATTATACGTTTAGTACTTAAACTATTACTTTTGTTCTGTTTTGATATCTAAACTTTATTTTTTTTTTCAAAATCATTCACAATGTTTAGTGTAGGTTTTATTTTGGTACCTCGCCATTAAAAACTTAACGAAATTGTGCATTTTTATGGGTAACCTACATCATTCACCATTCAATTATCTTTTCACTCCTATTTTGGTCACTAAAGTTTAAAAATTTCAGTTTAACTACTCAACTTTCAAATTGCTCCTATTTTAATCACTCTAATTTATTTTATTAATAATTTTTGTGACATGATATTTTTAATTTTTTGTTAATATATAATTAAAATAAAAAAACTAAATTTGAAAATTAGAGTGATTAAACTAGGAGTACTTTGAAAGTTAAGTGATTAAATTAAAAAAATAATATTTAGTGACCAAATATTGAGTAAAAAGATAGTTTAGTGATGAATGATGTAATTTGCCCATAAAAAATATCACGTACAAGAGTTCCGTTAAGTTTCTAATGGTGAGATATCAAAATGAAACAAAAAGGAAAATGTTAGGTATGATTCTATTTTAAAAAACTAACTTTAGCCAAATGAGACAAAAAATAGTTTAGGCACTAAACGTTTAATTTACCCTAATTCAAACAAGTAAAAACACATATTAGATTAAAGGGTAAACTGTGCATTTAATACCTAAATTATCAATTTTGATCCGTTTTAGTGCCTAAACTTTAAAAAAAATCAAAAGTACACCTAGAGTTTAGTTTTTGTTTCATTTTAGTACTCCCACCGTTAAGTTTAAAAAAAATAAAAGTCTAGGTACCAAAACACGTTTAGTACCTGAATCATACTTAAATTGTGAAAAAAAAATTAAAAATTTAGGTACTAAAACGGATCAAAACTGATACTTTAGGTACTAAATATGTTAAGTTTTTAACGAAAGGGTATTAAAATAAAACAAAAAGTAAAGTTTAGGTATGATTTTGATTTTTTTTTTAAAAATTTGTATTAAAATAATTAAAAGTAATAGTTTATATACTAAATATTTAATTTACCCTAAATTAAAATTGTGGGCGGACAACTATCAATTCAGCTGTATCTGTCTACACTATATTTTATATTTATCATGTGTTAGCTTTTGATTTTAAAAAGCAAAAGTGTTTATATATTAAAAAGTTTGTAATATTTTAATGTTATCTTTTTTTTCCCCGATAACCTTTAAGACATGTGATTAAAGGTTTAAAGTTAACATATTTCTTCTCTCTGTTGTAAATTCAATATCTATTAAAAACATTTTTTTTCTTCTCTTTTCCTTATTAGTAATTGCTCAGAAAAGAAATGACAATTTTTTTAGGAGAGATATGTCACATTAGACACGATTTTTGGGATGTATTTTTGACAGGAAACATTTTTTTACTTATGTGACAGATGATTGATCAAATCTGTCAAAGGTTGAAACACCATGACGGGAAAAAAAATGGTTCCAAATATAATAAAAAATCATTGAATTATATATATATATATATATAAGAAATATACACAATACGTATCAAAGATACATGTTTATACGAGCATAAAAAATGAAAGTACTACACGTGTGTAAGTCTTCTCTTCAATCAGTTAATGATTACATACTTAAAATATTAATACTTAAACCCTTAAAAAAATTAATATCTAAATAATATGAGATTTAAAGTTGTTGATCAAAGGCAGGTTTTGAAGTTGATTAGATAGATGTCATAATGATTAGGGTGTATAAATTCAGATATCAATTTCAATTCGATATGAAATTTTGAATATTTGAATTTTTGAATAGTTAAAATAACGATTTGTATCTGATCTGAAAAATTCGATCCGGATCTTAATGTAAAATTTAATTTGACAAAAAAATAGTTTTAAATTTTATATTTTCTGGCTTTATGTGACTTATTCGATACTTATATTATATTTTTATATATATTTAATTATTTACACATAATAAATAATTAAATATCTTAATTTTTATTGGGTTAAAACTTTAATGGGTTAGTGAGTTATTCATTTATTGGGCTAAATTTTATATAAAATCTAAAGGCTTGTTTTTTTTGGATTTTTGGATAATCCGAAATTAGAATTTATCTAATTCGCATCCATCTGATTATCCGAATTTTTTGAATATTCGATCCGAATTATCTAAAAATCAAAAAATGGATCGGATATCAAATCATCGGATCAATGAATCAGATCTTTTTACACACCCCTAAGTATGACGGTTAAAGAAAATTTTGGATACTCAATTTTCTTTCTTAGTTGTTACCTTCTAAAATACTTGGGGTCTAAGTATTTAAAACTTCCTGTAACTATCTTTCTGAATTAGATATGATCAAGTTCTTGACATATATCTTTAACAGTTTAAAATCAATAATTTAGTCATGAAGTCCTCAAATCTCAAATGGATTAGATATTTATTTTTCGAGTGTTTAAACATGACTTTCTAAACATGCACTCGTTAAATGAATAAAGCTAAGGTCTATATACACATGTCATCGTTACCGCCAGATTTATGTTTGTCTAAACACGTGTCAAAATATATTGTGTGCATTTCTTTTTTAACCCAACTCTTATAATGTTTATATTTTTGCCATTTTTCTTTCATTTTTAGTTGTTATTTTTATATGTTCTCGCAATTGTACTGCCACAAAAATAAAGATGCAACCTATAAGATGGGTATAAAGTAAGGCGATTTGTCTTACGTAATATAAAAGGATGCGAATTTTAAAAAAATAATATGATATTTGAATTAATTTAAAATTTAATTCTGTAGAGCACTATTTAGGTAAATAGGCCTACTATATTTTAAATTAGATCTTAACTTTTTGTAGTGTAATTGTGTTCTATTTAAAACTATTTAATCAGTTCAACGAGAAAGAATCTGAAGAGGAATCCCAGGAACAAGGGTGTAATTGTGTTATATTTTAAACATAGGGGGAAATTATTTAAAACGTTATCGGGTAGTCTTTAAAGGTTAAATATAGGGAAAAATTACAAATCTCGATCATGGATCTCGAGATGCATACATAAGGATTTAAAATTAAAATTTTATTTTAAATTTTTTCTTAAAATAGGTCATATGTCTACTTGAATTTGTTTATGGATAATAATTTAACATGAAATTGACAGATTCTGATTTAATAAGGTCGGATATTTTTAAAAGTTTGAGTTTGGGCCATATTCGAGTTGGATTTTATATATGATGAGGTTGGGTTAATTCGGGTGGAGGGTGAAAATATTTTGTCTGACTCGAAGATAATAGTGTAATTTACATATAAATTTTATAGATAATTCTTATAATACCCCTCTTTATAGTTTTCTTAATTAAGTCCTAATTTTATGTCGGATTGGATCGGACCAGATTAATTTTATACTCTAAAATTCCGAGTTAGATTGACTTCGGATAGAAGAAATGTGATATTCGGCTCGGGTCAGACCGGGTGAAGGATATACATTTTTTGAGTAGGGTGGAGGATCTTCATTTTAAATCCTATAAATTATATCATAATCTCCAAACCCCGTAATTTTTGTTCGCTAACTTTTCAAATGAAGGTAATTTTGTCTATTTTGATATTAATTTCAGCTTTACATTTTACAATTGTTTCAGTTTGATCCATGTATGTTGTTTAATTTGTAATTTCATGTTTGTTCAATTTAATCCAAAATTAACACATAATTATTTCTATTTTTTGTAATTTACTCCAAATCCCATATATCACACCATAAACTTAATTTCAAGCCCTATAAATTATATCATAATCTCTAAACCTTATAAACTTTTATTCACCAATTTTGTAACCGAATGGAATTTAATATGTTTTCATATTAATTTTAGGGTAATCTATGTCAAATACCACTCATCTTTACGCTCGGGATCGAACATGACACTGACGTTTCAATTTTGCCAATTTTAGCACGGACGTTTATGTTTCACTTCAATTTTGCCACTCCGTCGTTAATCCGTTGACGGCACGATGACATGGCACACCAATGTAATGGCGACGATGACATGAACGACTTTTTCAAAGTTATTTAGTCCACGTAGCATATGTATTAACTTAGAAAGTTGGAGATTCGCCACCACAAAACTCCCATTTCTTCACCACCATAAAACTCTCCCTCACTCTGTCGTCCACTGTGCACGGTATCATTCGCTGCAAGAAGCTCGACAACCTCGATGGCGATTCACTCTCCGATGACGAAAATCTTATAGCGTACCTTCTTGTCTTCTTAATTTTCTTTAGTTTCTTCTTGCTTTGCCTCGTAGGCTTTGTTTCCAGTATAATTTTTAAGTTGGTGTTGAACATCTCTGAGGGGGAATCAATGGAGAAGCTCCTCGAAGATGAAACAAGGGTTTGTCTACCCACAGAACAAAATCGAAGTTGAGTGGACACTTCTCTGGAAAGCATATTGTATTTACCCCCAGCATCTCTTCGCTGGGTAGGAGATCGAACGGTGTCCTTGTAAAGGCATCTTTAAAACCTAAACAACATGAAGGAAGAAGGGAATTCTTATGGTCGTTACTTGGAAGTGTTGGAATTGGAGTTTCGACTTTACTAGGAAATGAGAAAGCGAATGCCAATGAACAAGGGGTTTATTCCTCGAGAATGTCCTACTCTAGTTTTTTGGAGTATTTGGACAAGGACAAGGTTAAAAAGTGGATTTGTATGAAAATGGCACGATATCTATCGTGGAGGCTGTCTCTCCTGAGTTGGGAAACCGTGTTCACCGAGTCCGTGTGCAGCTTCCAGGATTCAGCCAAGAGCTTCTTCAGAAGTATAGGGAAAAGAACATTGACATTGCTACCCATAATGCTCAAGAAGAATCTGGTTCACTGTTGTTTAACATGATTGGAAATCTCGCATTCCCACTAATCTTGATTGGAGGGTTGTTCCTTCTTTCGAGGAGATCATCTGAAGGAATGGGTGGACCGGGTGGTCCTGGCTTCCCCCTTGCCTTTGGTCAATCTTAATCAAAGTTTCAGATGGAGCCTAACAATGGCGTGACATTTGATGATGTTGCTGGAGTTGATGAAGCGAAGCAGGACTTCATGGAGGTTGATGAGTTCTTGAAGAAGCTAGAGAGGTTTACTGTAGTCGGGGCTCGCATCCATAAAGGTGTTCTTCTCATTGGCCCTCTTGGAACCGGAAAGACTCTTCTCGCCAAGGCAATTGCTGGTGAAGCTGGTGTGCCATTCTTCTCCATTTCAGGTTCAGAGTTTGTTGAAATGTTTGTTGGTGTCGGTGCCTCTCGAGTTCGTGATTTTTCAAGAAGGCCAAGGAGAATTCCCCATGTATTGTATTTGTGGATGAAATTGATGTTGTTGGTAGACAAAGAGGAATTGGTATCGGTAGAGGGAATGATGAGAGGGATCTAGAACTTGTAAGAACATAATATTGTCGATATTGTCTAGGATATTGTTCCTTATCGAGAACTCGACGAGAGATATTGAAAACGTTGATGGGACTTGGCCGAATACGTTGTTATCTCTAGTGTCGAGAAAGTAAAGCTTTCTGAGTGAACCCATATCAGGAAACTCACTGGAAATATAGTTTCGTTGGATTTCAAGTCGTTTCAAGCGTGTTAGGTTGTTAAAGCTTGAAGGAATTGGTCCATTTTTTAGAAAACATAACAGAAAAATATAATGTAGTTCAATGGTTAAGCATTTAGTTTAATTTTAAGGGGTTTGGGGTTTAAATCCTCTAGTTGCATAATATTTTAATAATTTTTTCAAGCCAAACGACATCGTTTTGTCTTTATTGAGCATCAAAATAGTTGTGTTGAAACGACGTCGTTTTGGTAAGGCATCCACGTCATCACCGTCATGGCCCGTCCATGCCATGTCATCGTGCCGTTAACAGATTAACGGCGAAGTGGTAAAATTGAAGTGAAACATAAACGTCCGTGCTAAAATTGACAAAATTGAAACGTCAATGACATTTTCGATCCTGAGCATAAAGATGAGTGGTATTTGACATAGATTACCCTTAATTTTAACTTTACATTTTATAATATTTTCAATTTGATCCATGTGTTGTTTAATTTATTCGAATTCTATTTGTAACTTATTCAATTTAATCCTTAAAATTATATTTTTATACAAAATTTACCCATAATTATTCTTGTTTTTATAATTTACTTCAAACCTTATACAATTTCAAATTACAATTAGACGATCGTAAAAGACAAAAAAAATCAATCGAAAATGATCTAACTTGAATTAACTTGATATCTAACTAATTTAGTCTCGAACCACTTTGACCTGAACTGATATTGATCCAACCTAAAATTAACACAACTCAAATCTAAGCTGAATCTATTTAAAATCAACTTGAAAATGACCTAAACTCGAGTTGACTCAGATCCAACCTGATCTGAGTCAAATAATTGAATTGATCTGACATAACTCGTATTGAATTTAACCTGACTTGATATGATCCGACCTGAAACCTTAACAATTACTTGATTTCAAGTCGATAATATGCTAAAATTATACAAAACGGATAATTAATTAATGTAAAATATTACATGTAGAATTATAATATTCTGGATATAAATATGACATGACAGATAATATAATCACGATATACGCATCAATGATAATGAATTAGAATGAGAATTTTTGAAAGAAAAATTATATTAACATTTTGACTTGAATAATTAATAGGTCTAACTAATTTATATGATAAATAACAATAGAAAAATAGAAAATCAAATTACTAAATTGAAGCATATGCCCTAAATTTATTTTAGCATAACAGAGGAACATGTTGTGAGAGTGTTGTGATCAAAATCTACATTACTCGGATTAGATAAGAACATTGGATAAGAGTATATATATATATATATATATATATATATATATATATATATATGGGGCAGGATCCGATTACATAATGTAAAACTTTTTAGTTTTACACCTTTTTAAGATCGTTGGAAGAAGAGAAATCAAAGACTGAGATTAACAGTATGAAATGTGAAGATATTCACTAGAAAAAAAATTAATCTCAGCCTTTGATTTCCCCTCCTCTAACGATCCTAAAAAAGTGTAAAACTAAAAGTTTTACCCTAGGTATAGTTGGATCCTAACCCTATATATATATAATTTTTGCATGTTTTTTCATATATTTAGAGATTTCTTGAGGGGTCATATTCTCGTACTCGTGCCTGCCCGAACATGTTTCGGATACTCATGCCCGCCCGAACATGTTTCGGGTACACGAATTCTAAACAAACAAGATTGATTAGTGAGGTAAGGAACAAACAAGCAATGGAAGAAAAAATGAACATAAATTTTGCATTTACAGACTATTCTTACAACTACAAAGCAAATATGGTGAGCAAATTGTGGCTCAAATTGTCATCAAGAAACTTGGAGGAAACAATATATTAACAATCATATGCAACAGATTTTTCTTCAAGCAAATATCGAAATCAGGTTCACTTACGTGTAAGGGGAGGTTGCTTGAAATCAAGATATGCACAGTAATCATCTCCGCAATCAGTGATATGATTAACTGATCTCTTCGATAACAACTTCCACGGTTCGAGAATCGACTGAAATGGAAACAAAATTTTCAACATCATTAATTAGCCTGACAGGGATAAATGTTTAAACAAGATTCTCTCTGATTAAGCAATTACAGAGAAGAAGAACGGCTGGAGCCTGGAAGTAGCTATAATGAAAATAAAGATCACCTTTCCTTTCTCCCTTCCTTCCTTTCTTTTTTTTTTTTGTTCTTTTGTGTAGAATCTAAAAGAGTCCATAGCAAAAAAATAAATAAATAAATAAATAAACAGAAGCAATTGTTGTCGCTGCATATAAAACTCGGACTTGGACGTATGACATGTTCAATATTTTTTTCCTAAACGTTTCATGTGTTTGGAGGGGTCTTGGAGTATCATATCAGCATACTCGTGTCCAAATATGAGTTGGACGCAGATGTCAAAATCAGTATTTCGAGAAAACAGAGTTTAAGATACGTGGATAGAGAGCATTAAACTGAAGTAACTCACAACTTCAGCAAAGTGACTCACAAAGTTAATTGATGTTCTTATGCATGGAATAGATGTTAGAAGAAGGCCCACCTTAGAAAATGAGTGCGCTCTTAGTCTTCAGATTCAAGCTCCCTCAGATTGTTGGAAACCAAATTAACTTTTAAGGATAGGCGCTGAGTGTGCTCTTCGATATAATTTAAAACCATCTGAAGCTGTTCTTGGTACGCAGCAGATTTCTTTTTCTCGCGATGCAGCTCCATGGCAAGTTCTCGAATCTTACGATCTTTTTCATCCTGCAAATCAGAAGCTAATGCATGTAACGGCAAACCATTTGAATTATATTTATAAACAAATACTGTTAACGGGAACAAAAGGCCAGTGTCAAGAGGATCTAATTGCATGTAGCTTAGCCGTAAATTGAATGGTCCAACCAGGAACATAACATAATTTCAGAATTGTTGGATTATGATTATAAAACCCCAGATAAAAGGCCACATTATATAACAGAAATTATAACAACATAGATAGCTCATTGTCTCCAGTTCATGTCCAAAGTTTCCTCTGTGAGTTGATCGGATTGACTAATGATGTCATCACAGAAACACGTTATCAGCAATTAGTTTCTAATCTTTGTCAAATTTACATAAAGAAAAATATGAGTTACAAACTTTGTGTTCCGTAGATTTGTAAATTAAGATACTTCTTCAAAGTCAATGTCTGTTCTAGTTCTTTTCTATCTTGTTCGGCTCTCTCTCATGTCTGCTAGCCTGTGCTAATTTGTTAATTTCGTATTCTTGATTTCTATTCTAATTCTCATTTCTTTCTAGTCTATACCTATCTAATTTTATCTTGAATTGAAAGTAAAACATTATAGCATAAACTTAGTACAAGCTTGAACATGACAATATTCTCCAACATGTTTTCCATTCAAAAGGTTCCCATTTTGTTTTGTTGTGTGAAAGGTTCCTAAATTATGAATCTATAGTGTCAAACAGAAAATAAATATAAAAGTATTTATATTTGGTTGTAGAACAGCATTAGTGTCATCTCAGGCAACAAGATGTTATCATCTCTATGAATCATTAAAATGAAATAATAACATACCTCACAAAATGCAATTCTATGTGACCGTCGATGTGGTATTTTGCTCGGATTCAGTTCATGATTATGTTCTTTAATAAAATCATAGATAACCCATTTTCCCCCATCCTTTGCTGCTATTCTCAGCATTGCATTACATCCCTCTCTTGTCGCAGGCCGTGATTGGGAAACTCGGGTTTCTTTCTTTGTATATTTCTCTGCACGGAAACCTTCTTTCGAGCAAACAAACTCTCGAACGATTATTGAATTATCCTTGAGTAAACGACGTGTCCGATTGCTCCGAATGGTGAAGCCCATGCGTCGACCATACATTTCGTAGAACTCCCTAGCATACTCTGCAGACTCGAACTCCATACCTATACACGGCTCCCCATGTGTCATTGTGAAAGGAAAATGTTGATCCAATGGGTTAATCAAGTTACCATTTTCATCGAGATTACTATCTGACAACTCATCATGAAGCATTTCATGGCCATCAAATGTTTCAGTCAGCCATCTTCGATAATTCCGGTTCCAATTAAGCTCTGTATTTGAGGTGCTAGCCGTTACAAAGCTATCAGAAACCAAGTGAAGGTCAGTAAAAGAATCCCAAAATCATTGAACAATCCAGATTTTCCATCGAGAAAAGAAGCAATGGCTAACAGTGACTATAATCAACAAGCCTGGATTCACCCAGAAAATGGAATTACACAGAACGTCTTAATAATTTCACTAATTTGCTCTAAATAACAAAAGGCACAAAACCTCTAGTAACTCAACAGACATCAAATTATATCAATCTCCCCGCATTTGCAAATATGAGAGACAAGAATTTCCCAAGAAAAAAGAGAGAGAGAAAGCTTGATTTTTGTACTTCTAATTACTCAATAAAGTATATAAAAGAAACCCAATATCTATCAACTTTCAGCCTTAATCGTTCAAATACCAAAACCCAACGAGAAAAAAAAAAAGCAAAAATTCAGATAAAATGGGAATTAAATGGAAGTAAAGCAGTGAAAGGAGATAGAGGAATTTACCTGGTTCTTCTGATAATGTGAGAGTCTCGATAAAAAGAAAGCTTCAGACAATTTCAATGGCGGCAGGTACAGCCAGCCACCACTAAAATAAAGCGGTCAGTGTTTTTTTTTTCTGAGTTTCCGAATTCAGAACTGAGACATGGAAGAAAATGACTAACCGGGAATTTAAAAGAGCAACAAAAATCTCAATTTTTACCTAATTATGGCTTTGCGTTTGTCTTATTCATATAAATATGTAATCACTACTCGAATTAATATGTTCTTTTTATCTAGTAATAAATTTATTAATTAAAAAGTAAAATTATAGGAAGAATATGTAAAATTAAAATAAACCAAATCACATTAATTGTTATCAAAGTATAATTATATAATCTAATATTAAAAAATCATAAAAAATTAATATAAAAATATTCAAATTATACTTCTTTTCGTATTTAAGTGTCTAAATTTTTTGGACTAATATAGTTGTTTAACCTTACAAATTATGATTTTAAATGCCTATGATATAATGACCTTTTGAAAAAAATCGTCAATCACTCAAAATTGACATGTGATGCATTTCTAAATTTTAAAAAATTATTAAAAAAATGGGTTAAAATTATTATGATATTAACACTTAAATAATATTAAACTTAAAAAAACTTTTTTATTGTTGATGAGAGTTAATGTTAAAAAATAAAATATATTAATAATTTTATTAATTATTTAAAAAATAATTAAATAGTCAATTTTATAATATTGTTAATTAAAATTAAAAAATTAATTCGATGATTTAATAATAAACTCATAATAACTGAATAACAAATTTTATCTTCATACATTTATTGCATTCACGTAAAATTAGCTTAACCCAAATCATCTTCCCATAACTTAGGTATTTCCTGATCAAACTCATCCTATTCTAGAAAAACTCTATACATTGGAACTTTATCCACTATTGACCATTTTCATCGTCGTCTTAATCTCATAAAAGTTACTACAACAAAATTACTGCCATCGTTAGATCTTCATTCAACTCAAATATAGATTCAGAAATACCTTTTAGAGTAAATACATATATATTAATAACATAAATTTTTCGTATAGAATGAGCACATATATATTAGAATCCTAAAATATTATGACTATATATTATATATATATATATTGTTTATTTATTGAGAATTTTAGTGGATGCATGAGGTTAATCATTTACTATAAATTAATTCTACCTTGATAAGTTTAAGATACATTCATTTAATTAAAAGAAGTTACTTACATTCATTATATAGTAGTTCAAGATATGTTCAATAATGCTAAACAATTAGTTTCACTATTGTTCTTTTCGTATTTTTACTTCAAATTTATCATTTTTTTACAAAAAATTCCTTTGTATTAGTAAGGAAATGTTGGCAACGCTTTGATTTAAAATATGTTAATGTTATTTTGAATGGTATAACATTTTTATCCTCACTAGTGAACAATTCTTCTCAATTGAAATACTCGAGCAAAACTTTTTTGAGTTCGTCTGTAGTACTATCAAAGCTTGCTCAAGTCGGTGTTAAAGTCTTGTTTTATAACAGTTAATGCTATCGCTTCGTTTAATTTGTTCTTGATCATGATCTTCATTATTTATTTAATTAATCTTAACCTTTATTATTTATTAAGTTGTTTTAATTAGTATTAACGTCTCGTTTTGTGACAATCTATTTCGAATTTTTCTGTTTATCTGAATACATTATAGCCCTTTTAGCTACAATAACAGTCTCATCTTTCAATACCCCTTTATAAACGACTGAGAAACTTCCTTTTCCAACCACAGATTCTTATTTGAATCCACCAGTGGCCCTCTCAAGTTCTTCGTACTTGAACATCCGAGCTCTCCTGATCCTAAGCTCGTCGAAGTCGGAACGGACTTCTATGTTTTCTTTCCGGGAAGAAGCAACCTCATTAGCTTTCATGGATCGACTCTTTTGCTTTGCAGCGACAGTTATTCAACCTTTATCCGATATATAAGACTGCAGTTAACGATATCATAATCACCAGGCAAAGGCAATCTCTGCAACAATGATTGGTAATTGCAGTAACCAGAACCTCTCATTTTTACTTCCATTTGCGGCATCAGAATTCGAAGACGAAGAACAATTAGAGAAGCATTCCACTGAATTGCAACTGATAATTTAAACCAAACATGAAGAAACGTAGGATATGTTTGTTACATAGAGTGTGTAACAACGGAAAAATAACTTCAAAGTGCCAGAAACTAAGAAAGGATTAATCCAGACATTGAACAGGAAGAAACATCATCCTGGGATTCAATGTCATCTATTTCAGATTCTTCATCACCACTCTGTTCATTAACATTACCTTCTTCTGATGCTTTTATCAACTCCAACTCCATTGCTACTTGTTTCATGGTGGGTCTTTTCTTTCCATCAAGATTCAAGCATCTGTTTGCTAGTTTAGCCACTGCTATAATTTCTTTTTCTGGACCATCATTTAGTACACGTGAATCGAGAATGTCGAAGAAGGAATTCTCCTGCAGTGAAAGCAGAAAGCACGACACCAAGCTTCTCACTTCCTCTTTTTGTTCCAAGATGGGTTTTTGTCCTGTTAAAAGTTCAACAAGAACAACTCTGAAACTATACACATCACTTTTCTCTGTAAATTGACTCGATCGAAAGTACTCTGGATCCATGTACCCAAAAGTGCCTTGAACTCGAGTAGTTAAATGAGTTTGTTCAATTGCAAAAGATCTCGAAGTCCCGAAATCCGACACTTTTACCCTGTATTTATCATCCAAAAGTATGTTGCTTGATTTGATGTCCCGGTGATAAATAGGAACATTAGCAGCTGAATGCAAATAGAACAAAGCATTGGCGATTTCAATTGCAATCCGTAAACGCAATTCCCATGTCAGTGGAAATTCTTCATTTTGGTAATGAATGAGATCATAGAGTGTTCCATTTGGGATGAACTCATACACCAGCAAAGGAATTTCATCCTCTAAACAGCATCCTAAAAGCTTCATCACATTCCTATGGTTAATTTGAGATAAAATTATTACCTCGTTGATGAATTGTTCAACCTTCTTTTCGTCAAATTTCTTGCCCTTCACCATTTTAGATTTCTTAATAGCCACAATACTCCCATCTGTTAGCATTCCTTTATAAACAGTTCCTTGGCCTCCTTGACCAAGGACTCGATTTTCATTATAAAAGTATGTTGCAGACAACCGCCTATAAGATTGCTCGTTTCGTTGTCGAAAACGGTGACCAAATTACCACAACCTGGAGACCAAATTACGTTGTCGAAATCTGAGTAGTAAAAAGGGGTGGCTGTCAGGTTGAGACTCATCCCGTTGTTATTGTCTTGCGACAATTGAAATAAGTTATCGAATGATTCACCACGACGTTGCCTAACAGAAATGAAAAGTCGAGTATATGCAGATCGATGCCATTTATGTTTATGAAAGGCACTGACAACCCTTTGGTTGTTTTCTTGCAGATTATTGTAAACCAGCTGTGGTTGAGATGATGTTGGTCGTTTATTTCAAACGGGAATTGAAACGTAACGTTGCCACAAGAATTTTCACTGTAGATGCTCGTCAGTCCTGGTCCTGGTTCGCATCCTGTAGCGTTAGCAAAACAGGTCTAATTAGGCTTAATATTTTAATTAGTTCCTATAGATGAAAATCATTAGTCGACACCGATTAACACTCCAAAATAGGAACATTTTTAACCTAAAATGAAACGTCGAGGGAATGTCCCAAAAAAAAAGGACAAAGTCTATCAAAAGTTAGAGGTATTTTTGTCCTAAAACGAAACGTCGAAAGTCTAAATACTCCAAAAAATAAATAAGAGGACAATGACTATTTTAGTAAAAGTTGGGGGGCTAATTTTGACATTATACCTTACATTATTATAGGTTTGGAAAAAACAAAATTTGGGTTAAGCTATGGTTGAAATTTAAATGATTACATATTTGGATGAATTTAAAGATGAAATTGAAAGATTCAAAAGTTTAGAGATCAATTTAGAAAGATGGCCATAGTTTAGGGATGAAATTAAAATTTCTAAAAGTTTAAAGACTAATTTAGAATAGAGCCATAATTTTTGGGATGAAATTGAAATACTCAAAAGTTTATGGAACAATTTAAAATGAGAATTATAATTTGAAGACATATAATATAATTAACTCATTATTTTTCCCTTATACTTTTTTTGTTTGACTCGTTAAATACTTGAAAAAATATTATTAATATGTTTACATGGATGTGAGTTAGTTCTTTTTCTTTCAAATTTATTTATACTGATGAAAGTTGGAAAAATTAGTGAAAAGTTAGAAAACGAATTATTGAAAAAAAAACACGATAAATCATTTTACATAAACTAACATATTTTTTTGTTAATTCGTAATAATTTTACATTGAGTAATCTATTTTATTTAAATCAAACATGAAAAAGAAATATTTCACATAAAATATTTTACATGAAACAAAAAAAAAAAACTTCTACAATTACTTATGCATACCCTTTAAAAAATTCAATCCCACTTAAAAAGAAACAATGCTTTATAAACAATTAGTTAATATAACATAATGAAACATTAAATTTTTAAGTGATATTAAAGGTTTTAATTTTAATATTACGAATAAAGAAAACTGGATTAGAATAATTTTTTTATAATAAACTTTAAATATACAATTCATTACTTGATCAACTAATAGGATATAAACAGTTATATATATATTCTTATTGATATTTTTTATATAAAAAAATAAGAAAAATATTGGGTAAATATGCATTAATTGCATCATATGTCTATAAACTATAGTTCTCATTTTAAATTGGTCCTTAAACTTTAAAATATTCTAATTTTATCTCAAACTGTGACTCTCGTTCTAAATTAGTCCTTAAACTTTTGAACATTCCAATTTCATCCCCAAATTCATCCAAATATGTAATTAATTTCAACCGTAGTTTAACCTATATTTTATTTTTTAAAACATATAATAATATAAGTTGGCCTAACGATTTTATTAACAAGGGATGTGATTAGTATATATGTATAGTTTGGGATGGAATTAAAAAGGTCATAAAGTTTGGGGAGTAATTTAGAATGAAGGATATAGTTTAGGGATGAAATTGAAATGTTTAAAAGTTTGAGGATTAATTTAGAATGACACTTATAATTTAAAAATGAAATTAGAATATTTAAAAATTTAATGACTAATATAAAATAAAAATCATAATTTAAAAACATGTGATGCAGTTAACTCAAAAATTATTAACATAAAAAATGATCCTAAAAACTGAATTTAAATTAATTGCCAAAATCTTTATAGTTAAAATAAGTGACTGCGAGTGACTGACCTGCAGGACCGCAATAGGTTGAATTCCAGCTGAGCGTTGTGGGGACATGCGTGGTTTCAATATTGATGCCATTGCCAATAGCTAACGGATCATCTCCATGGAAATACAGCCTGCTAAAGAAGAAAGCAGATGCGCATCTCGTGCTCTCATCCTTCCCACCGGGATACATGGCTGTCATGTTTACCATACTTGAACTCAAGTTCCCAAAGACTTTATTAAAGCAGCCAGGTTCAGGTTCAGAAGCCCCATCGCCGCCACATCTCGGTTGAATGCAGCCGCCAAGGGGTTCACCATCATTACTGAAAACGGTAGCCAAATTCCCGCAACCCACGGACCCGAACAAGTTGTAGTCACTCGAGAAGAAAAATGGAGTGCCTGTTAGATTGAGACTCACAGTATCGTCCATTTTGTGATCACGGTTAACGTAAGTGACTGGATTCTTTATGAGGATGGAGTTTCCTGAGAACAAGGAACCGAGTACCTCGATATCGATTCCGTTTATGCTAATGAAAGGCCTTTTCCCATTGTGGGTTTGCTTGCAAATTACTCTAAACCAGGAACGAGTATAGCAGCTTCCATGGATCCCAAATGGGGATGGAATTGTAACGTTTCCGCATATTTCTTCCCCGCAAATGGTTTCTTGAGATTCTGCTGCCATTGGGCATAAAAGGAACAGGAGGATGAAGTAAAACCCCAGATGAAAACCCATTTGGATTGTTGATTTCTTTGATGGAAATGAAGATGTAGATTGGGTAAATTCGATCATGTTTTAAAGAAATTTCTTGTTTCTCTCTTTTACTTATCTTATTTATGAATATGTCAATGTGTGTACAGAAATTGAAGAAAAATAATATCCGAGTATCACACGGCATGAATACTTTTCAGGTTTACAATTGACAGTGGAAGATGTATGTACATGCAATATTCTGCCCACCAAACTTGAACATTTATTACTTTTAAAGTTGGAAGGAGTTTCAATTTGTTACACTCAAATCTTTTTTCTTTTTCTTGTGATTAGATTTGATGTCGTCATAATTAATTAAGATAACAATTATTTATTATCATGTTAATTCGTTTATTTTATATCATCAAATGATTTATGTTCATTTTGTGATTTTTTTTCTAATAAGATCACATTTATACTCGTCTATCTTTTGTTTAATTTTTTTTTAAAGCCAAAATGAGAAGAAGGAAAAAGGGTTTAGAGATGAAATAGGGGAAGAGGTGAAAAAGGGTTTAATTTTTTTTATCGCTGATGGTGATTCAACCCCTTTTTGGCACGATCATTGGGTTACTCAACTCGATCCTCTTATTCGCTACCGTCTTGACAACACGGCCGTTGATGAAGATCTTAAAAGCCCGCGAGATTGTTTCTCCTTATGGATCTTGGGACTGAAACTTCCTAAACAGAACTCTCGTCCCTGTGGCTATTCAACATTTCCATAACATCCCCATGCCCTCGCCCTTCGCTGGAACGGATCGCTGTATATTGAGATGTGGGAAACATTGAGAATTTTCTGTCAAATCCGACTACATTCATCTTTCGAAGCAAAATTGGGAGCAAATGGTCCGTTATTTGGCAAATCCAATTTCCTGAAAGCATACGATACTTCTTATGGCTTTCTTTGCGTGGAAGACTTCACTCCAATATGAATCGTTGGCATCGTAATCTCTCGGACAGACCTCTTTGTGACATATGTGGTGTAGATGATGAATCTGATATCCAAATCTTCCGCAATTGCAAAGCTTCTAAAGATCTCTGGACTGCCATTGTTCACCATCAAAACCTTCGTGGGTTTTTCGATCTCCCTTTGGAAAATTGGTTGCTTCAAAATCTAACCGCAAATCAACTTCTAATTGGGACTGCAACTCCTTGGAAATTTCATTTTTCTTCCCTCTTATGGAAGGTTTGGAAACGGAGGAACTCTACCATCTTTGAAGGAGAAGGCATGTCCAACGCTGATCTTTATCGCATGTCTACCAACTGGCACAACATTATGTTTCATCTCCGCCAGCTTCTAAAGTCTCGCCTAATCACCTGACTGAAGAACATATGCAAAGGACGCGAGCGCCGCCTCGATGGGTCACCCTCAACATCGATGGAGCAATCAACCGTGTCACTTCCCTTGGTTCGGCTGGAGGCCTTGTTCGAAACCATGCTGGATATTAACTTATAGGCTTCAATAAACACCTTGGTTTCTTCACCGTTTTTGAAGCTGAACTTTGTGACATCCACGAACTGCTCAACCTTGTTTGGTCCTTACTCCTTTGGCTTTGAACGCGTTCAATGTCAAACCGATAGTGCGGAGGCTTACAAGCTCATTAATTCGGCTAGAGCTGACTCTAGTTGTCTTTCTCTTGTTCACAGCATTGCTCGAATCTGCTTGATTGGTTTGTAGAATTTGTTCTCATCAGAAGAAAAACGAACTTTGTTGCTGACTCTCTGACCAAACCAATGCGGATGGCTCAACTCGGATTACTATTGTCGGAGACTTTAATGGTCCCCCTTATTCGAGGAACCTTAATCATATGATGTAAAGGCCTAGCCTCTTATTATTCAAGAAAAAAAACACTAAAGTTTAACCACTCAACTAACTTAAAATTTTTGTTATAATCTTATAAATATAATATACATATTATACAAGTCGGATTATTTATAATTTATATTTTAAAAATTAAAATAATATTTATATATAATATATTTTTATATATAATTTATAATATAAATAATATTTAAAAAACACTTAAAATTTTTGAAATTCTCAAAATTTTCCTTAAACCTAAAGCCCTAAATATCAAATCCTTAATTTCATCCATTGTTGATGTCAAATCAACGGCCACCACCCATCACTTCCGTCAGACCCTTACCACAAATTACTCACTCTCCCGTCACCGGAAATCAAAGAACAATGTATTAATCAATCATCAAATCCCCTAGTTTAGTTCATTTCAAATGAATCATGCATTGCATCAATCCTTGAAAAGGTGACATCCAACATACTGGCATTTGATTTGAGATTCGAATTTTAACGTATGAAACCTCTCTTTCAATACTTAAGATATGATAGGATGTCACTCCACCCTTTTAAGTTTCTTGACAGTACCTTCTTTTTACGTTCGAAAATGATTACGACCATGGATATATTGGGGGTTAGTGATGACGATTAACTCTGAAAATTTTAAATTTTCATATATTTTAAATATTTTCTTTTTATTTTTACTGAAAACCTATTTTCATCCCTCCAAGTTTTATAAATGCTCCCCTTAACATGAAAATTTGTATCGTCCATGATTATGATGCGATATCCTCAAAACAGAACCATCCAAATACATGAAATTTTGCACGTGCTGACCAATATCAAAAGCAAGCCTATCTAAAACTCACACAAGAGTTTGAGCCACACAGGCCTCCACTATATAAAAATAACAATACATCAATTCCATTTTCCCCATGTAGCCACACATGCCTCCACTATATAAAAATAACAATACATCAATTCCATTTTCCCCATGTATTTTCTCTAATACCCTAGCTTAGCAACCACCAAACTAATCATGCCCATCAATAAAAGGAAAGATTTCATGGACTGTTAAAGAAACTACAAAAATAAAACTAAATAAAGATGGTACAATTATGCATAGATGAAAAAATGGAGGAAGCTATCAACCGCTTAAAAGGTCCTTTGCCTCAGCATCAAGCTTTTTCAAATTGTCCAAAGTTCTTTGAACTTTCATTGATATGTCATAGTTGTGATCTTCAACTTCTTTCACAAATGCTACTAGCTGCTCACGATATGATGCACTTAACCGCTTCTTAACCCGCAATTCTGCAGTTAATTCCTGGATTTTCTTATCCTTCTCCTCATCCTGTAATTCCAATGGAAAAATTGATATTGATAATAATCAGAATAATGAATATGAACAGACATGGTAAGATCATATAATTTTGATGGTGTCATGAAACCAATCATCTCCTGACTAAAAATTGCAATCAAAGTTCAGCATCAAATAAATATCTTATCTTATAAATCAGCCTTTATCGGAGAAATGAACTAAATATTTGGGTTGATGTGTTACAACAATACCATGAATCTGAAACTTCAGAATATTTTAAACCCATGCGAGTTGTTTATGCTCTCCTAAAGCTGCAGATACATAAATGGAACTTTTAGGTCCCTTATCACTAGGAAACAACTCACTGACAGTATAAATTTTATGCACTGCCTTTGTAGCTACACTCATCCGACCCAACTCCTCCAGCCAAAGACAGATAGAAGTATCAAGACAAAATGAAAAGAGGTAGAAGAATACGTATAAGACAATCTACGGAATCTTACAAGAAAAGAACCACATACATTATAAATAAATCTAATGAGAACAGTTGAGTACTAGTACGAAGAAAATGATAAGAGATGTCCGTTGGAAAAAGGAGAGCTCTAAACAGAGCATATAAATAAGCACCCTAATGATAAACATAAAAACAAGAAAAATATCAGTCCAATGGTAAAGAACAATAAAACTACTCTTAGATGATTGAAATCAAATTAGTTCCAGCAGGCTCGTAATTATAAATTTACAAAGATGAAAAGCTAAAAATATACATTCTCAACGGATAACAAATATAATGTAATATAAAGAAATTATGTCTGAATCTTTTCATTTGACGAGTAATTAACCAAGGAATTAAAAGCTTACAAGTGTTTTGTGGCTTTCTTCTAACTGAATCACCAAAGGATGATTATGGTCCCTTATAAATTTCTTAATCACCCATCTCCCGTTCTTATCTCTCCTCAAATGAATCATTGCTGAGCAGCTTTCTCGTTTCTTGTCTTGCTTCTGAAGCTGAACTTTTGTCTGATCATCGTAGTAACCTCTACATCCAAGTCCACGAGAGAACAGTAACCCATCACGCTCTGACTTATGTGAAGATAGAACACGTGTCAAGAATCCTACTCGTCTTGCATAATCATCATAAAACGTTTTGGCAGCCCCTTCTGTTTCAAATACCATACCCACGTAAGGTTCCTGAATTGTGTCATAGTCATGCATATTCGGTTCATCCACAGTAGAAGCTTCTAATCTACCATCACCATCATCCACTTGTTCACCCACTGATGCACAAAGAGATTGGTTAAATAGAAACTATAATAAGACATCTAGCCATCATAAACAAGTAATCAATGGTTAGTAGGAAATCGCATGCTAAAGCGCAAGTACTCAAATATACAAGGGAAAAAATAGGACTAAACTAATTAAAGTACCAAAGCATCTAGCATGCACAAGTATAATGCCAATCAGCATCAATGATGAGGAATCAAATGTCTCAACTACAAACACCACCGCCCACTTTATAGTTGACACCTTGTAAAAGGTTAATGGTAAGACATAGAGCCACCACTCAGATGATATAAGTCACAAACCTAACAAAACTATCACATACTGATTTACAGGTGGGGAGAAGTTTATTTCAACACTAAATCGGTAACTGATATTACGGTATGCTCCTTCTCCGGTTAAACATCAAGAAACTGCAATCATGGACAATCTTCCATTCAAAGACGTACATAGTGCCAATTAGATAGAAACCAGAACACCGATGATAATGCTGGTTGGTCTACTGCATTATTAACATGATATATGAGAAGCTCTAGGTTTCAAATCTCCAAATCGAGTAGCAATACATATACAAGGCATTTATCAGAAAAAATCCCAACAAGCATCTCAAATTCAAAAAACAAATGGCTCAAGCCAAAGTTACAGTACCAGTTCCAGATTGAATAATAATCACTAAAAGTAAAATAAATAAATAAACAAGCAAAACCAGTAATTCAATCATGAATGAGAACAATTGCATCAATAATATTCCTCTCCAAACAAGAAGATATAAAATTAACCACCCCCGGGGCAAAAAGAAACCTTGGGCTTCTACAATTTATATATATATATATGAACTACATTAAGGTAAAGTAGAACTTATGCTTGAATCTCAGGCTGTAAAAAATCATTAAAAAAATAGGAAGGGGGAAAAACGCTAAACGAAGACAAAATTGAGCATGTGAAAATAAGTAAAAAAAATGTGAAATTTATAGGGTTGGGCTTTTTTTCTTAATAATTAAAAAGAGAAGAGAAGGGCTATCGTTTTTCAAAATTTAAAGTGAAAGAAACGAAAGATTAAACTTACTGGAATTAAGAAGGATTATTCTTAGTCTGCTCCGTTAACAAGATGAGGGGTAAGAAAGGAAGCAGACGAGAAAATGAAATGAACATAAAATATTGAGTTGGAGATTTATTTTGGGTCAAATACATCCCCAGATCACTTAATATTATTTTGATGACAAACCGGTCATATTTTCTAAAAATTATAATTTAGTCACTCAAAAAAATATTGGAATAGTGTTACAAACTGATATAATAATAGTTTTTAGTCCTTAAAATTTATATATTTTATTAATTTAATCTTAATTTGAAATGGTTTAATAAATTTTACATTTTATATTAAAATTATGTTAATGTAGTTTTTTTACACGAAATGTAGCCAATGACCAAGTTTTATTTTTTAATCTTCCTTAAATTTAGGGTAAATTATAAATTTCATCACTTAATTTTGATATGTTCATATTTTGGTCATTGAATTTAATTTTTTTAATTTAATCATTAAATTTTTGATTTGTTTTGTTTTTTTTATCACTCATGCATTAATCTAAAACAATAAGATGACCTGATTAGTTTTACGCTGATGTGAAAGTCATCGGTTGGCCACTCATTTTTTCCTTTTTCCTACTCTTAAAATTTCATCATTTTTCACACAAAAAATAAAGAAAATTTTAAATCATTTTTTATAAATTTTTACAAAGAGATATATAATCATAACGTGGTTAATTATTGAATGACATAATGATAAACAGAGACGGTCCACTGTTCAATGTCTCCCGTGCTACTTTTTTGAATGAGCAATGTGTTTCCACTCTCAACATTCATGCGATTTGGGAACCAGCTCTTCACTTTTCCCCATCAAAAATTTGGTTATCTTCTCATTTAATTGCTGTCTATTACCCAAAACAGACTCATCTACTAACACAGAAGAATGTTCTTGAGCAATGGGATGGATTTATTTTCTCTGCAACTTTCCTTTTCCTTCATTAATAATAACCATAGCAGCCTGTGATGATTGTAATAATTATCAGGGTAAAGTATATGAATAGTTCCTCGACTATAAGACGTTTTATTGAGTCCTCCAACTACTAGAACTTACGAAATGATCCATTGACAATATGATATTACTTTCTTGAGTCTCTCGACTATAAATAAAAGTTACAAAATTATCCCCAACTATCTATATGTTCTAAACTCGTCTTTTTTCGTTAAAAAATGATGATAGCTTGAACTGGACGTTAACCTGCTAGTTGTGATATGATAAATTTGATTTTCAAACGGCTATCATATCTGAGTTAACAGGTTAAATTCCAACTTAGATTGTCATCAAATTTTTTAACAAAAAATGACGAGTTTGTAACATATGAATAACCAGGTGACCATTTTTTGTAACTTTTAATAATTGATGGATTCACCAAAGCAATGCCCTATAACTATGGGACCATTTTGTAACTTTTAGTACTCAAGAGACTCGCCAAAGCAATGTCCTATAGTCAAGGGATCACTTGTGTCCTTTACCCTAATTACTAATTTACTAATAGATAAAATAAGAAAGATGTTAAATTACTAATTACTAATAGGGACGTAAATGAATCGAACTTGAACGAACAAGGTTGTGTTCGTGTTCGTTTGTTTACTTTTAATGTTTGTTTCATGTTTGTTTAAATCTTTAATATTGTGCTCATTTATTTTTTTGTGAAGGTGTTTGTGTTGGTGTTCGTTTGTTTACTTTTGAAAATGTTCATGTTTGACTTGTGTTCTTTTAAATTTTTAATATCGTGTTCATTTATTAATTTGTGAAGGTGTTCCTGTTCGTTTAATATCCACAAACATATTTGTTTATATGTTCACATTGTGTTCATTTAACTTTCACAAACATATTCATTTAACGTTTGTTTAGTGTTAATTTATAATTCATTTAATGTTCTTTTATCATTAATTTAGTGTTAATTTATATTTTATGTATATGTTGAATTTTTAGTTTTACCATGTTTAAATTCATTGTTTAAATTTAAACTTTTCCCATGTATTCAATTTAATCCCTAACCTTCACCAATATTTAAAATGTAACAAAAACAAAAGAAATATGAGAACTGAATAAACGAGTTTGTTCATGAATATAAATGAACGAGTTGATAAACAAGATCATAAAAGAGCTTATTCATGAACATAAACAAACCAAACACACGTCTGTTCATGTTCGTTCGTTTCTTAAATAAACATAAAAAAGAAAAATTGTTCATACTCGTTTATTTAGCTTAACGAACAAACATTATACGAACGGTTTACGAACAGTTCATCGAACACTTTGTTCATTTACTCCTGTAATTATTAATTAATAATTTATTAGTTTTCTAATAAACAAGGCTTAAGTATACAAAAGGTGCTCAACCTATGCTCGTTTTTTCAATTTAGTCTAACGTTTATTTCATTCTAGTTTGGTGCCTGATTTTTCATTTCGTTACTCAAAATGGGTCAAGCCGTGACAAACTGTTAGTTTTCTCTGTTAAGTGATACGTGTCACAATATGGTAATTTTGATTTTTTTTTAAAAAAATAAAAATATTATTATATTTAGATTAAAAAAATCTTATTTCTTTTAAATTACAAAAAAAACTCAATTTCTAAAATCCCCAAATCCTAACACTAACCCACCGTCGCCCTTTCCGACCACGGCATCACCGCCCTTTTCGACCACGGCCAACGCCGCCAACATAATCCTTTTCATCATCCTAGTTATAAGTAGTCGTAATTATCGTCGATTGACAGTCGAAATCACTTGCGATTGCAATTTTCATCCTAGAGTTCGAGGGGTATAAAACGTCAATTCACCGTTGATCGGCCATTGATCAGTCGCGATTTCATAGAGTTTTTGTCACCGAGGGAGGTGAGGTCAAGTGGAGCTTCACAACGGAAAAGGGCGACGGTCAGTCTTGATTTAGGGGTTAAAATGAAAGTTTTCAAAGTTTTGAAGTTATTTCAAACTTTTTATATTTTCTTTTAAAAAAAGTATATAATTTTTTTAATTTTATATAAAAAAATTAAAATTATCAAATTGTGACATATTTCACTTAACAAATAAAACTAACTGTCTGTCATAGCTTAACTCATTTTGAGTACGAACACGAGTCAAACAAAATTTGATCAAACTTAACGAACAGTAAGTCGAGTCAAACAACAATCTTTTTAACAAATATGAGTCGAACACTGATCCACTCACGACCGACTCGGTCGATAAGCACCTTTACTCTTTACATATTTGTCCCAAGTATGAAAGTAGTCTCTAGACTTTTTGACAAGGCAGTTGAGCATAAGATTTTTTTTCCCATTTCATCCCGTCTCATAGGATCAGATTTACCCATTGTGCTTTGCAAATGACTTTTTGGATACTGTTGCTTACCTACATAAAAGAGACTGAAGGTGCTGAAGATATTCATTTTTTTCATTTTAATTTTATTTATATTATTATTATTATTATTATTATTATTATAATTATAATTATAATTATTATTAATATATATTATTTATTTATTAATATTACAAAACCCGGAGCCCAATAATCAGGCCCATATTACAAGCCCAAACCAAATGGAAACCCTAAACCATTTAGGGTTTCAGTTAGGGTTTTCTAACCCTAACCCCGTGTGCCATCGCCTCAATGGTTTCCAGCCGCCTCAGAAGTCTTCAGCCACCGCCGTTGGTTCCAGAAGGCCACATGTCCGCTGCCTACACTCCACCAATGCCACGAAGCCACCCCGAAGAAGCCTCCAGAAGCTCTGCTGCCACAACCCCGACCGTCCACGTCGCCTCTATGGTGAGTCACCAGCATAGCTTTGGTGACTCACCGAACTTTTCACCCTTCAGACCGGTCCGATGGCCACACCGGTGATGGCTATAAAGCCATCACCCCATCTGCGAACAAAGAAAAAAGGACAGAGACGGAGAAAGAACCAGAAACAGAGAACAAAGAAACAAAAAAACAAAGAACAAATAACCCACAACCAGCAGTCAACAACAACGCAGCAAAAAAAAAGGAGAGAAGAGAGGAAAGAAACTTACTCTGTCATTGGAGAACCCCAACCGTCGCCGAATACAACGAAAACCGAAGGTACTTTTGTAGATTTGCTCCGATTGAGAGCTTTTTAAGGAAAAAGAACACCGAAAACGGTTTTAGATCGTCCCGATCTATATTTTGGTGTATTTTTGTAATTTCCGGCCACCATTAACGGTGGCCGGCAGCGGTGGTCGGAGCCCGGCAGCGGTGGCTGACCGGGACGGCTTTCTCTCAGTTTAGAGAGAAGCCAGAGAACTCTGCTCTCTCTCTGTTAGAGAGAGAACAGAAATGAGGAAATGAGAAGCTGGCCCGTAGGGCCAGCCGGTTTAGGGTATTAATACCCTCTCCCAAACGACGTCGTTTTGGGGAGGGTATTTCTGTAATTTCATAAAGGGTAAACCCCGTCCGAAGCCATTCCAACTTGTAATTTTTACATTCTAGTCACTAAATCGAGTTTATAATACTTTTAATTCAGATCTTTAATTTTAATTTCATTTATTTTAGTCCTTTATATTAAAATAATATATTTAGGATAAATAATAGATTTAATCCCTTAATTTTAATAAATAATATTTTAATCCCTATTTTATATTTTTAATTTATTTTAATCTTATATTCGAATTTTAGATAAGTTTATTTTAGTCACTAAATTAATAAAATAAGAAAATAGCATGTTTAATCCCTATAATTTTGATTAATTATGAATTAGGTTTTTATTTTTAATTTTACTATAATTTAGTCATTAATTTTAAATGTTTTCATTTATTTTACTGCGTTTAAATATATCGTTCTAATTGTATTTTTATTTTTATTTTACTTGTTTATATATTTAAATATTTTTATTATGTAGTCATAAATATATATATAATAAATAAATATTTATTAAAAAAAATTATTTTAACATTTATTTTTCAATATCAAAGAAAATAGCAGTCTTAATACAACTGGATGTCCTATTCTGGTATTTTAAAATTAAATATTATAAAAATATTATTTAATTTAAATTAATATTTATCAATATCAAAGAAAAGAGCTGTCTTAAGGCACCTAGAAGTCCTTTTCTGATATTTTTAAATATTTTTTTTATATATAATTTTGAAATAATAGGATTATAAATTAAATATATTTTGAATTTTTAAATTTCTAATAATAGAGACAATTTATAATTAAAAAAGTACCAATTTTGGGCGTTGTAGGGGTGCTAATCCTTCCCTAAACGTAATCGACCACGAATCCCTTTTTATTATTAAAAAGAACGAATTTTTGGTTATAAACGCGGATCAGTTCATTTTTTTTAAAATTGATGTTTTCTTAAAACTCTTTTAAAAAAAATAATTTTTAGGTATTCGACCTACCTAACCCAAAAGGCCGATGGCGACTCCCAAATTATTTTCAAAATCATTTATTCACATCACTTTTCCCGTCAAGTAAATATTTCGTGCCCGGACGAAAACCGGTTACGACAGCTTGACGACTCCACTGGGGACCAGTCAAACTTTTAAAAAATCAATTATAAATTGTCTCTATTAATTAAAAATTAAAAGTTCATATATTTAATTTTTAATTCTTTCTTTTCAAAATTTTTATATTTACTTATTATTTTCATAATATTTATATGTTTTATTTTATTTGCAAGTATTTTATTTCATTATTTATTTTTCTGTCAAAGGTTTGAACATTTCTCCTCACACACAACACTTGCATTGCATAACATAAAGCTCTATAATTGAGTTGTCCCTTTTAAGTGGGAGTGAAAGCGACGTCTTCGTGAGAATTTATTCTCCGTGTCAGACCTAGCAAGTAACTTTCGGGGTTCATATGCTCTATGTCTTCGTGAGAATTTATTCTCCGTGTCAGGCATAGAGAAATGTATCCCCTCGAATTGAATTCGATCCACTTTAGTCTGTAATGGACTAGGGTTGAGGTTTAGCAATCCAAGGGGACACTAACAAGGACAATTCGGGTACCTTTATTCTTAGATCTGAAACCCTGCATATAATAAACCCTAGAAACTCTTCCGATCCGAAGTCATGCCGAAATTTTATAGGTGTACACACAGGAGAAATGATTTCTAACTTTCTTGTTTATTTATTTTCTTTACTGATTAAATTACATGTATATTTAAATTATTTAAATTTAGAAAAAGCATGTTTAAATAAAAATATTTAGGTAAATGTTATTATTAAATTTCTTTATTATGTAAACTAATTCATTTCTTTTTGTGTGTTCTTTATTTTTCTGTTTGCATAGCATCATACAGGATAAAAGGCATTGATCCTTGTGTTAATTGTCTCATTGGAAAGCCTTCATCCATGGATAAAAAGTGTTCAAATCAAGTAATTCTAAACTCAGAAGTAAGACAGTGGGCTGAGGATTTACAAAGACAAGAAGGAGACAGTCTGCAGGATGATTATGTATCTGACTTAGCCAGTTATGCTTCAGTTTCGCTAAAAAGAAATGATATGCAAGATTTGTGAAGTATTTGGGAAAGTTGGGATTCAAACAAAAAATTGCAGTTTTATCAGACTTACGGAGACATCCCATATTTGCTATATGTTGAAGTTGATGATGAATTACTCAGAGCCCTAATTCAATTCTGGAATCCAGGGTACAATTGCTTCACTCTCAATAAAGAAGACTTAGTCCCTACTATTAAAGAGTACACAACTTTGTTACATATCGAAGGGGTTTTAGAGAATCGAATCTATTCAAAGTCAATTAAAACTCAACCCTTTCGAGTTAAATTAGCAAAGATTGCCGGGGTACGAGAAGAATGTGTGGCATCCCGTACAAAACAAAAAGGCGAAAGCGAAGGCATTGCTTGGACCAACATTAAAGAACTTATTCAGAGCCATCCAGATATTAAAGTACGATTCGATTTATTTGCTCTAAGTATCTATGGTATGGTCATCTTCCCAAAAGTATTGGGATATGTTGAAGCTGCAGTGGTAGATTTGTTTGAACAGCTACCGAAAAAGATTAATCCTGTTTCTGCAATCCTAGCAGAGACCTTCAGATCGTTAAATGCTTGTAGAAGGCTAGGAGGTGGACGATTCTCAGGGTGTACCCAGTTGTTATATGTTTGGATCCGTAGTCATTTCTGGAGGATAGAAAAGGTTTCATACCGACGCTTTAATACGGATTACTCACCATTAAAAAAATTTCTGGAGCAGGAATGGCCGAAAGAAATTAAGAAAGATATGTGGATTAATGCCTTTCGAAATCTGCAAAGCAATGACATTGTTTGGCGAGCCCCGTGGCAAATCCAAAGGGAATTCTTTTACAAATGTGGAGATTACAATTGGATAATGCTGCTCGGATTATGGGGAGGAATTGGATATGCACCACTCTTGGTTATAAGACAATATGAAGGTCGTCAATTTGTACCTGTCACTGCTGGATTACAATCATCTGAGTTCGCATTCCACAGCAAAAATTATAAAAGAAATATCATGGAAGCCGTTACAGCTTGGAAAACAATTTTTTGTATCCGAGCTAAAGCAGCAAAAGAAATGCTAACTCCTGATTATGAAGAATGGAGATCTGCCAGGAAAAATGAAAATATTCCTCTACCAGATCAAAAAGAGGATATCTCTATGGAAGATCGCATTAAGGTGGTTCCATCAGAGATTGAAATCCTGAGAGCTGAGTTTGAAGCAGAAAGAGAAGGCTGGTCGAAAGAATTAGAGCAAATGAGACAAGATAAAGCTATGTTGGGTGTTGCCATTGACTTCCATTCATCACAATGTGCAATGTTGAGAAAAGATAAAGAAAAAGTTGATGATGAATTCAGAGCATTACAGAAAAATTACCAGGAGTTATATAAATCCCGGAAAGCATCAGGATCAAGCCAATCAACAATACAGATGACCAGAGAATTGAACATCGAGAAAAGACGAGTTGAAGATCTGAAAGGAAAGAATAGCCGTCTACTCAAAAGCCTTGAGAAAGGAAAGCAAAAAATGGAAGATTTTGAGGTTGACAGAAGAGAGCGAATTATAAAACACAAAGCTGAACACCGTGAGATCATGAATGAAATGCGAAGAGAAAGGGATCGAGCCAAAGATTTAGAAGAGATGAAGAATGACATCTTTGATAAATTTGAAGGTGAGAAAAATATCATGTTCAAGGGATTTGAATCTGAAATGAACCAGTTGATTGCCGAACTTGAAGTCAGGGGCCAAAAGATTGAAGAGTTCAATGTTGAAAAAGAAAAATGGGAGCTGGAAAGAAAGAATGTCAACACCAAACTTGAGGTAGAGCAGGAACTGGCTAGCAATTGGATGCAAAGATGCAGAAACAAGAATGTTCAAATCCAGAAGATTAATCAAAGAACTCAAGAAGCACGAACAAAACTTGA